TTTTCAAGTGGGGGTGGGGTTTAATTGAATCGTCGCGTCCCCTGCCCTCCTGCGCGTGCCGTAGCGCTGCCAGCACCCTTCACAGGTTCTCCTGGGGTGAGGCGTAGGCGCCGGCGCTCCTCCTGCGCCACCTAAAGGCTTCCCGTCCTCCCCCCTCTCCCGCAGACGGTCCAGCCGTGGGAGAGGCGGAACTTCCCCCTGCCGTGCGACCCGCCGACGGAGCCCGACGACCCCGGCGACCCGGCCGACCGGCCCCCCCGGGGGGTCCGCAGGATCTCCGGCAGCAGGTCGGAGAACGGGCCGGCCCCGGGCCCGGCCTCGCCCCTCTCCGAAGACGGCAAGCAGAGGCCCCCCGCGGCGCTCCGCGTGGCCCACCGATGAATGAAGCGCGAGGACTTTTTTCGGCATTAAAAAAAAGAGAGATCCTGTTGTTTGATATTCAAACACAGTCAAATTTTTTCACAGTTTTTAGTGAACATACAGAAATTTAGAACCTGTTTTTAAACTTGTTTTTGTCACAGGAAAAAAAAAGAATAAACCATTACAAATTAGGTTGAAGGTAAAATACAATGAGGATTCGGGGTACAGCATCCTTCTAATGTGGTAGGCATACACTTCTAGCACACTATGTAGCAGACTATGGGCTCAGCCGATGTCATGGAAAAGGGGTATTTTCTATTGATTAGCTGATGTCTGTGACCCCATGTTAGTTTAAAGTGGAGTGACAGATGCTTTTTTTTACCCAGATTAACGCAAGCTTGTCACATTGTTTCCTTTTAAGAGAACTTCGCGTTCGAATTGGACGTCCTTCTCTGTTGTGGCGTATAAATCAGTGTTTCAGTCCCCCTGGAGCGTGTGCTGCGCTGGGGTTGAGGGATGGGCCGTGGTTTGGGAGAGTGCCTGTTTCCGAGTCCTGAAGCTCAGAGGCTTCTCCAGCGCCCAGCTGTCCTGTACGTCAGCGGTTCCTGTTTCTTTCCAATAAAGTAAATATTTCTGTTGACCCGGAGGGTTGTGTTCTGTGGCGATGTCGTCTTTGTGGCTCTGCCCATCGCATTTCTCACACCAGCTGTGACGAGACACGGCATGCAGCGCCGAGTCTGGGCTTGTCCGGTCGGAAGATCCAGTAAGACTGCGGGTTGTGTTAGAAGCACTGACCTCTTTCCCGGGTTTCTGTAATGAACACGTCGGCCTTCTCTGCGAAGCTCACACGAGCGTCTTTGACGTCGAGATTTCATACCAGCTCGGCCTTGTGGGAGGAGCCGGGCGAAAGGAACGGGTCAGCGGCGCGCTTACAGGTTGTGTTTGCGGTGTACAGGCGTTTCGGATGTCTCGTTGGCATTGCCCTCCAGGGTGGTGAGAAATTCAGAAAGAGAATCGTCTTAATTCTGTAGGGGAGCGAAGTGGAGAGACGCTTGTGTGGGAAAACTCGTGACTCTGCGGTCGTGTGTGGAATATTGTCCGGCGCGGAGCAGAGAAATTCCGTTTTCTCTTCAAAAGGAAACAAACATTCCATCTGTATCGGTTAGCGTTCCGTCTAAAACAGCACCCAGATCTCAGGTGGCAAATTTTAAGGGAAAATCTTCAGTCACTCGAACTATTGATTTCCAGATATTTTTTTTCTTTTCATGTTTTTACTATTTATTGCAATCGCTTCGATTGCAGGAGGAGACTACTCAGCTTAGCAATTTTTTTGTCACCCTAAACGTTGTGTTGGTGTAACTGATTCAGCAGTCTTATGAAAGAACTATTCCATATTTGAGTTGCAAATTGCTATGCAATCCCAATTTTGTTAAATATATATATACATATATAAATATAAATAGTAGGTTATATTTTACGCATCAGTTGTGATTTTCAATCTTGTATCACTGTACTCTGTTTTTGTAGTAAAAGCAAGACAGGTTTCAATGTACTAGTATAATTGTTGGAGCAGTTATAACAGAATCAGATTGCGAAATTGTTTTGTAAATAGTACAATTAAAACCATTCATGTTAAAACTACCTGAGTTCTGGGTTTGTGTTTTCTTGTTTTTTGCATACTAAATCACTCCACTGTAAACTGAGGACAAAAATAAAAAAGCCAAATTGTATTTTTCCTTCTGAAATGTTTCCCTTTTTTCCACAAACTGCCATGAGTTTTGATTGGTCTTTGTCTTTCTGAATCAACAGTCATCTGTACCACAGCTGCCTCAAAGAGTTCAGGCTGTCACCTTGTGTGTGTGTGTATAATCTCATTTTAATAGTCATTATACATGTATTGACAGGAAAGATAAATTCCTTTTAACTGTTGTATGAGAATAGTAATGAGAAGGGGGTCAATTTAAACTTCACAAGCTTTTTCTTTAAACTTCATATTTAAAAATCAGGTTTTTGTTTTGCCCAGCTATTGTGTAATTCCCATTTTCCTCTGTGGGTGTGACTGTAATCTTAAATAGAGCAATGCCTAAATTAGCAAGTCTTGGGGACTTGGAAAGAAAGCAGTGGAGGTTTCAAATTCAGCTTTAAACTCAGATGGATTAAAAAATCATCACTTGGACTGTTAATAGATGTGCCTAATAGCTGACCACCTCTATCCTGCCTGTCTTGCTTGCATGACAGACCCGAGTAGAAAACAAAATTCCCATGAGGAGGCCGTTAAAGATTACCTGCTTGAGAACTAAAACGCGATGTGGAGATGACTGTTTCTGCACCAGGTGTAGTTCCAGCTCAAAACGGGGAGTGTTCTGATCCTAGAGGAGGAGTGAGTGGGTCTGCCACTTCTTTACAAAATCATGCACTTAAATCCAATTTAATGGGCCGAATGGATTTCTTTTTTGTCTAAGAACGGGACAGGTTGCAATCACTTGATCAGGTTCACAAGGGAATGGGGCTGGCAGAAGGGACTCCTGTCCTCTGGCCTGTGAAGAGCACTGTGGGCCCAGTTTGCTTTTCTGTTGTCTTGGACTGTGATGGGAACTAATGTCTTTCACCCCTCCCTGTATACAGGTGTGGGGGGGTCTAAAGTTGAGCTCATGAATTACAAAACCTGTCCTTGGCATATTTCTCCATTTGATGGCAGAGCATTTTATGATAACTGTTTCTGATGTATGGGCAAAAATTCATATTTGAATTGATAATGTATGGCACTGATTTCACCTCAGTCCCTCCTGCCCTTTAAGCATAACTTTGCTTTTTTTTTTTGTTTCGAAGGGTTAGGGGGAGTTGGGATTATAAATTAAAGGATATTTTTTAAAAAAATCTTTGTTGAGAAAATAAGGGACCATCATCACCTGTGCTAGCTTTTTTTTTTCTATTATTGTGTTTAAATTTGCCTGTTAAAATCAGCAAAACTACTTAATGAGCAGCCAATCTACTATGTGTAAGAGTGTTGAAGAGATGCTGTATTGTATGGGTTAAATTAGTCATTCTAGAGTTTCCAATCTAGTGAACAGTCTTGAAAGGTTGTTGAAAGTTTCAGACGCCCCTTTGTGCTTTGTATAGAGTTCTATTTTGTAAATATATGTTTCTTAAAGGCTGTGTAATTGAAGCTCAGGCTGTAGCTGTCCTGATTGTATAGGAAGAAAAAAAAAACAAAAAAAATTCTTTATGCAGAGAAGCAACTATTTGTTAAAATTTATCAACAAACCTACTGGCAAGCACTGTACGTGCTTCTAAAAAATAAAGAAGGCAAACTATTAAAAAAGCAATTAAAAATATACAAAACAATAAGGTAGTTTTCCAGTTTTTTTTCCATTTTTTGGTTGGAGGTGGGGAAACTCCTTGTACATCTTCCCATCTTTGTGGAAGAGGCCTGTCTTAGGGTTTTAACCCAAAAGGATCGTAACCTTTGCCTTCAGCTTCTTGTAAAATTGGTCTTTTCATATCGGGGTTCTCGACTATGACCTCTATCCTGCCTTTTTAACTTAATTTAACCTTTTGGTTTTTCAGCTCTTAGTGTTGGAGATTCCTACTTATCTTGTTCATTTTAATGGCGCATTTAATAATTCTGCGTAGACTCTTTTCCCCCCCGTTAATTTCAACTTCAGTTTTCCTTACTTTCTGCCTCTTTTAGGTGCATTGGTTTTATTTTTTTGCAGATTCAAATCTACTGCTTTTGATGAGTAATGAGAAAGATGGGTCCAGTTACAGGCACAACTTCACATTTCCTGAAGTACAAAATATAGAATAAAGGACAAAACGAAACCCCGAAAATGTTCTTCAATACCGACTTTATTTCCAAATTCACGTTTACAGCAACGAGTATCAGTGTAAACCAGTTATCATTAATAAAACACACAATAACGATATGGACAATCACAAATTGCCAAGCTAGAATGTAGATCTGCAATAGAACTCAGCAGAGGTTTGGAAAAATAAAATTAAAAAAGGCATTAAGGAGATTTAAACTGCAGTACCTTGAAACTCCCCAAGTGAAGCTAAGAATTTACAACACTGAAAAAAGCCTTACAGCACCAACTCTTTCCGTTCCAGTCAGCTTAAAGAAGGACACTGTAAGGCATCTGCCACTACCCTAATACCCTCATTACTCAGATCAAAAGGCTGTTCTCCACAATCATGAATCTGTGGGACTGCAGATGTACAGTATGGATATAGAATGGAACCTTGCACTCCTGCAGTTTGTAATTTTAATGTTTCTGGATCGGTATAAGTTGGTGGCCATTAATAATAGAGAAAACAAATATATGTACATAGAAAAACACTGCAGGCCTCTAAAGGAACTCAGCGCTGCAAAAGAGCCAAGATGCTTTTGCTCCCTGGAGCAAATACTTTCCTGGGAATGAGTTTATTGAAACAGCCTTAAAGCCTATGCCTTTTGTGTCCAATTTAAAAAGAGATCTGTGCGCTTCAATTTGAATTCTTGGATCATTAATTTGGCTTAACTTTTTTTTTTTCGTCCTGCGGTGTTGTAGTGGTCAGTTTGATTTAATCTAAAGCTTTCCACTGCCCGTTACTAACAGGAAAAACAAAATGCTCAGACTGCATTCAAGTTGTAAAAGTACAGAACCTGTAGCTGCCTCCATGTGATCAGGCATTGAACAGCCGCACATTACAGAGACTAGCCTGGACCGGCAGCCCAACAGCTGAAGCGTGTTCTAATCCCTTCTTGCTACAGTTCAATACCAGCCAACCACTAATGATTCCTACTATGGTGTTCTCACGCTATTTAAATGTAAATTGTGGTATGGAAAAAGCTGAGCGAATACCTAAGGTACTTTATTCAGATCTAAACTCCCAGGCATCACACTAGGCCCTCCCAGTTTTCCGTAGGTGGAAACCGGACATGTTCATGAAAACAACTGGACGAGTTTGTTTTTGTTTGTTTACAGAAGTAGTGGCAAGTAGGTTATAACTCCTGCTGTTCCTTAACGGGGACAGTTTACGATTGTGCACATTCTTCCTTACGAATAAGCAGCAATCCAATTGATAAGGTGAAAGAAAAAGGTAAGGTTCAGATTTACAAAGTTAATTTTCTATAGCACTTGGACCAAAGAGAGCTGTGTCCTTTTCAAACAATTTCTTCTGAAGGTTTTCTTTATTCAACAATCAGGCCCGACATTAACAGCAGTCAATTAATTCCAAACACCCTTTTTCTGACCCCAGTAATATTTTTAGAGAGCACTCAAATGTAGTCCTCATGTGCGTTTCAGTTTAGAGCACTTGGTATCATTGTGTTCACGTTTGACAAAGCCCAAGGTTTCAGTTTAAATCTTTTCAAGCTGGTCAGTTGAATGAAACGTTCCTACATATAGTATTAGCAAAGTCAGGAGAAAAAAAATACAGGAAAGGAGCAAAAGAAAGATTATAAATTAAGGAATTGCCAGCAGAACATTAAAATCATTTTCTTATCGGTTACATCTCACATCCACGGAATACCATTAGAAAAAAAGGTGCATGACACAAGCTTTAAGCATTGATGCATTTAACTTCGTAAATGAGGAAATATTGATGTCTTTGATATGCATTGCCTGCACCTGAAGAGAGCTGTTTCATTAGGCTGTGCAGGACAGTTAACATGGGATACATCACACCTGTTGAACCTCGCCATTCAAATGTCATCAAAGGGTTTCAGAAAAACATTTGAAAAGCCTCCTGTTCATCCACCAGCATCTTCAATGCTTTTAATGTACCCTGTGACACTGACCTCGATTTTTGTTAATACCCTAGTGCCAGGGAATGAGCTTGCTGGATGCTGCACTAATCTCGCAGAAGGGTTTTCAAGTCAAGACATCCCACAGTAAGACATTCTGAAAAAATACTCGTCCTCACCTCAAGCTGATCGGGTAAAATCGACTTGACCAGATCTCAGCACAAACTTAACACTGGAGTCTGAAGGCCACAAGGAAGCAAGACGGGTGCGGCTGTTTAATGGTAAGTCACGATGTAAAGCACTTTCGCCTGTTTACCGGTGCTCTCTAGCCCTTCACTGAAATACAGATTTTTAGAGCTTTTGGTGCTGTCGAGAAATCCGTCTGTGAGAGAGGACAGTTATATGAAGTGTTGAGGTTCTTGAAGGGAAGCCACCCTGTGTTCACCGGCAGCTCTCGTTCTTTCTCTTGAGGTCAGCTAGCCCTGTATTTCAATCACCATCATCGACGAGGAGTGCAGGCACGCGCTAACAATGATGCACAAAAATGCCACAAGGCGCGCTAGGAAGCAACAATGCACTGGAGGAACGACAAAGGGTAAAATGAACAGAGGTCCCCCTCACTCTCCTTATAAAAAGTGATGTAGGTGATGTCGCGTGACGGATCTGGAGAGTTTCCTCGTACCCTGCCTTTCCGGTGGTCCGAAACGGTTTGTATCACACTTCGGCACAGCTCCCCCTGCTTTAGGGTTATCTACTCTAGCCCCTGTGCCATAGACGGAAACTGCCGTGTAAAAGTCTTAGCCAAAAGACGGCTGAAAAAGAAAACTTTTACTAAGTTTTAAGTCATTTTGTTTTAAGCCAACACATAATCCTGAACTGTATTTTGTCGGTCGAAAGGAAGCCTTTCAGCTTTGTGTGTTTAGAAAGGAACAAAGGACAAGAAACACTCATCACCAGGTCAGTTTTGATTTGTATGAGAGATGCTAGACCTCATTCTGGCTGCTGAAGCCTAACTTGATCATACAGCTGAACTACAGATGATAACGAGAAGAGCTTGGTTTCTTCTCACCCACAAGAACACACCAGTGGAGGCTCTGCGAGGATTGATCTTCATATTTTCTATTTTATACTGTATATCTATCCAAGACATTGTGCAGAAGGTAAAGAATCTCACCTCCACCCCACCCCAAGCAGAATCGGCATGATGGAAATTAAATTGACTTTACTTTCAAAGACGAAACCACTGCCCTGATGGACCATGCACAAGTCTCCCTAAGACAACGCTAAACAGAACCACCAGGGGCGGAGCGGTGGCTCTGTGGCTCAGGATCTGCGCCTGTGGCTGGAAGGTTGCCGGTTCGAATCCTGCGGCCAGCAGAGGAATCCTACTCGGTTGGGCCCCTGAGCAAGGCCCTTAACCCCAGCTGCTCCAGGGCAGCTGTATAAATGGCTGACCCTGCGCTGTGACCCCCAGCTTCTCTCCATGTCTGTGTGTCTCATGGAGAGCAAGCTGGGGTATGCGAAAAAGACAAATTCCTAATGCAAGAAATTGTATCTGGCCAATAAAGTGATCTTAAACTTGGCATCATTTGATCACCAAAGCATGCACCAAGAAAGAGCAATGCTGGACACTTAAAATAGCCTGTGTCACTGCTGACATCATTGCCCAGTGACCTCTCCCACATACAGCTCTTGTGTCTCAGATAATGAATGCAGAACCAAAACTCCAATTGACTTGCTTATCTTACGGTTAAGCTTTATAAAGATTCTGAGGTACATGCCAAACTAGCAAAAATTTAATCAACCACACAGCCATGGTAACTCTTTGGGAGAAGTAATTTTACCGACTGCAAAGTGAGATGTGGTGGGGAAAAAAGCAAAACCAAAAAATTCAAGAACAAAAAAAAAATAGCATTACCTATACACCTGCTTCCTGGCTACACCTTTAGGGGAAACCCTTTACATAAAATTCACAGGTCTGAGTCCTGAAAAGGTCAAGTTAATGCAGACCCCAGCCAATGCACTCCCTGAAATACAATTACACAGAGGACTGATCAGTTCCAGAGTCTACCAAAAGATACGGGAGCTGAAAGCATTTCAATCCTGCGATTTAAAACGTGATTTCACAAATGCCCGCTTAAGCCAAAAACAGGAATTAGTACTGCATGGCACCATCTACAGCACATGAAAACGTGGGAGTCCAAGAGCAGAATATCAATTACTGTATATTCCACCCTACGCTACGCGAACATCAGCAGACCGGTCTAGACATACAGAGCGAGGGCTTGTAGAAATCAGTCTTCTAGCAGAGATGAGAGAAAAGAAAAGCTCTCCCAAGCAAGATTCCTTCGGCTCCTATGCTTGGCTCTGAAGCCCCTCAGGCATTTCAGCTCATCAAAGAAGGACTTTTGTTAATATAAGCCAAAACTAATTCTGGGAAGAAAACTGCCCCAGAATTCCCTTACAACTCACAGGAAGAGCGATGCCGCTGTGTTCGTGTGCCTGTATATACAGTATTGTGACAGGCCAGAATGGTACAGGGATAAACTGCATTCAGATTTGCATGACATTTATTCCAATACATCAAAATGAAAGCTTAACATCACCATTAATACTGATCAATATGAAACTACTATTTTGGAAGCTATTCTGGAGGATGGTTGTCATGAGAACCTGACCCAAGCCTTGAGCATCTTTGTTGATAACTGCTGTAAAACCAGTCTTGCTCTGGTTTATTGCGTTAAGTTGCAGAACACTGCTCTCGCATGCCTGGGAATCGTACGCCAAATCATTTCCAAGCCCCTGATCGCAAGATGATCTGTCTGCTGCAGCCGATTGTAAAGGACACCTGGGTGACATGGGATGACAGCACCTAGCATCACCAGAAACAAACCTCAATCTTGACTCGGCAACACATGAAATGCAATAGAGAAAGTAGTTATTCTATAAAAAAAAACGCTTTGATCTACTTCATTCACATTGAGAAGGCAACTCCTCATGGTATTCTACAAGTCTACAAGCATAAAAAAAACTATCGGCAAGTCTAGTTTTAATTAAAATGCCAGTAAAAAAAAACACTAAAATTCTTTTAAGCATCTTACCCCACCTGCTACTTTTGTTCGTCTTGTGTTAGATTTCTTTATTTGAAGATGTGCTTCAGTACACTGTATTTACACAGCTCCATAGTTCACTCCTGCCGACAACAGGATTTCAGCAACTATCTTGGTATTTTTTCACTTCTTGCATGACGGTATTTTGACAACAGGTGCACCACCTTTTTTCCAGACACTGGATCCTCTATGTGATTAAATATGTCATGACTTATACATATATATAATACTCAGTATTATAAATATAACACTGAGTATTATAGGGTTTATAGAAAGGTGGCAGCAGCAGTATTTGCAGATACAGTTGCTGTTCCTGAGCTAGCAGGGGGATAGCAAGTTGAAATACAGGAGGAGCACAGCTGACCTCTGATGCCGTCTTGTAAATTTAAAATAAAAAAGAGCAACACCCACAGTGTGGCCCTGCCATAGACTGACTGGCACCTGAACAAAACAAAATGCCAAATCAAAGTTTCCCCACCAGCCTTTCCTCCTGAAAGCTCATCCCAATATTTCAGTGTGGTATGTTCCCAGACTTCTATGTTTTTTTTTTTACTTGTGTGCCAGTTACTCATTGCTTTATCAGCCTTCCAACTCCTGTCCTCTGCTCATACCATGATTAAGTGTACCTTTACCACATTTACTCAGCTGGTACTTGGCTGTAAATTTGGTATTCTAAGGTGAGGCAAGAGCAACACCTTTCTCTCAGCTCTGCAGGTCACAGGCGAAGCAGGAAAAGCATGGTTGGAAATAAGATCAACATTTTTACTGTCTCTCCAGCATACATCAAACAGCACGTTTTTCCCAACAGGTGCACAAACTACAAGCATGTAAATATCTCTTCATGGAGTTCTGGAATATACTGGCTTTAAGGATTATCGAGAGCTATTCTCCTAGTTGTAGAACACTAAACTACATGTGGAATCTACTAGGGGATACTTGGCACTTCACCTCCAAAGATAGAGACTGTGTCGCAGTTCAAGTAGCTACATTGAATGAACCGCAAACACTAATGCTGAACTGGTTTTGAAAGTGAAAGCAGCTTTTGTAGGGAAAATCACTTGGAACGCAAACTGCTGGGGCACCTGCTGAAACACTCTAAAGAGCAGAATTGGTGCTGCTTGTCTGTAACTGGACGCAAACCACTTCGGGGAAATAAACTCGATTGTTTCCACCTTATTCAAACTCATCTGGGTGGGGGGATCAGTTTCAAACAAGGCTAGGCTATTCCAATGATCTCAAGAAGCACGTACTGAAAAATCTAAAGAAGACATATTCCACTACCCACACCGGGGGAAGAATTTAAATTAAAGCTCTAGTCGTTTCGAAGGAAAGCAGTGGTGAAAGGTTAGCCTCGAGTTACTCTGCAGCACAGGGGCAAAGCTCTGGTCCTCAAAGGCCAGGATCCAGCAGGTTTTCCAGCCCTCTTTAAATCATCCACATTGGAAATTTGAAAAGTGTTAATCAGCTCAGTTGGGACATTAAGAGCAGGGATGGAATGAAAACCCGGCAGCACCGCTGGACTCCAGGACTGGAGTTGGGCCCCGGTGCTCAACAGCAATGTGCCCAGCAGAAAGTAGGAAAAAAAATTAAGGTACAGCACTTTATTTAAAAAAAAATAGCTTACTCCTGTCAAAATCATCCTAATTTTGGGGCATGAAATCTCGAGCATTCAGATGATGTTGATGAAAGGATGAAATCATCTTTAGCGGAGGAAATTCCTTTCCTTTTTATCTGCCATAGCATTTCTTTACAGAACTTGTTACTTCTGATGAAATGGTTGTTTTTTTTTTGTCATCTCCCTTCGCATAAGAACTGACCATCTTCCATATTTTCAGGAATATTCACTAAAAAAAGCCGAGACACGTCATGATGCATACATATACTGGTGTCTAAGCAAATCTCATGCAGGGGGCTACTTTGTTCGGGTATGTTAAGCATGGGATGCTTAAAGGGACGCGGCTAGTGTTTGCAATTAACTGCCTCTCGAAACGGTCAGCAGTTTTTTTTTTAAATGCAAACATCTCCATAAAGGGATCTGCACTAAATCGGATTTTTTTTTCTTCTTCGAATGACGGCACTGTACTCTATTTTGGATCTGGGTCTACATGTCATGCCCCAAAAAACTGGTCTGCAAAAAGGGAGGTTAGAGACAGGCTGCTCTGGTAACCAGTTAGAAAAACTCCTGCGAGGGGTTGTGGTAAAGGAAGGAGGGAAGGTGGGGGGGGGGGGGTCTTTTTCCTGGGGATCCTCGGGCTGGAGCCTTGCTGGGGGGAGGGCGAGCCCGGGAGAGAAATCACAAGCCTTGCTTGGCCAGGGACGCAGAGACCTCGTCGGCTAGCGTGGCGAGCTGCAGCGAGTCCATCATGTTGATGCTGCCGGTGGAGGAGACGTTGCTGAGGCGGCGGGGCGAGCCGTCTGTGGAGACCGTGGGGGACTTGTAGACGATCTCCGCGCCGTGGTCTGTGCGGGCTTTGGCCTGCTCGCGGAAGGTCAGTTTGTGACTCTCAATCTGTCGGGACAGACAAAAGAGGGGGGAGGGAGAGACGATTGGAGACAGGCGGACACCTCGAGGTGCGGAGGCCAGCACCAAGACTGTACGCCTGGGGTGACCGATTGCCTGCAACCTGCTTCTCGAGCGCGTCAGGGTGTCCAGTCGAACATCAGAGCTTTGGGTTATGGGGAGTCTCCCTGCTTTCGTTCATGTGTTGCTGGCGTTTCAGATTGCAACACTACCCTTGCGTGTGTGTATGTGTATATTTTGTATATATATGTATATTTTCTTCTAAATTCTCTCTATTCATTGCAGGCTTCATTTCACACCTCTCTACACCTATTCTGACCTCTTGATTGGCCTCTCTTTCTGTCCCCTGCTCCCGCCCCTCGCTCCTCCTCTCTCCCAGCTCTTGTTCTCCCACTACATTACCTCTGCTTACTGCCCTGTCTCTCTCACACCTGAAGAAGGCTCCATGGCCGAAACGTTGTGTCTTCTTTCTTCTTTTTTCAGCAGGGAATAAACCTATTACTTGTTCCTTTGCAGCCTACGCATACTGATGCAGCTCCCCACCTGAACCACTGTGTGCATATGTGTCTATCAGCCAGCTCGCTCTGATCAAATCCGGCTGTTGATGGTCCTGCAGCCATGACAGCACAGGACAGTCCAGACTGTGAACCGTGCAACCACGTGAACTGTTCCGCCAGAGTTCCCTTTACCCACCATAAAGCACGATGCAACGAGGCAGGATCCGTCAGCCTGCAGAGAGGGTGTTATCACGCGCAGCAACAACGCGCAGCACATCTTTCATCTCGACACCGTGACACCTCAGCGTGCCCAAAGCTCAGAAGGACTTGTGCACTGGTGGACATCCTTCTCATTGCAAAAAATAACCCCGCACTTCTCACTCATTTCAGCGGGGAGTGGGGGGAGTGCGCCATCTGGTGGGAGCAGGGAGAAGCAGCTCGTGGTGCTGCAATAACACAAGTGCAGCCATGTAGCCACTGCCTTCCCTCCCCCCAGCAGAGACTGGAACGCAGGGAAGACCAAGTGAACTTGTCAAACCCTGTGCTCAGGAATGGTTCTGTGCTGAAAAAGGAAATGGGAAGAATGTCCTTTTGATCTTCGGCCTCGTGACGTGCTTCTACTGCACTGATACATATTAAGCTGACTGTGTGGCAGTAACAGGAGTCCAACAGGGGCAGTGGAAGACCTGAATTGGTATTAAATAAGTGGGTAATCCGAAGATGAAAGAGTCATTAAGGGTTCTAGATCCAGTATCAGAAAAACGGCACAATCGTAATGCTTCATCTGATCACTGTTTTTACCCAATATCTTTTACGGTCAGATTTTTTTTTGCAGGAGTTACTTAACACGTTTGCTTAAAAGAATGGCAGTAACAAGGCACGGCTCTGCAGACTCCACGTTTTATAAAACCTATTCTTGCTTTCACAAAAATAAGTCTTTCACGAGTGCCCTCAAAAGAATCTATGGAGATTCTCACCATGAATCCAGCACAGTCTGGAAGGTATGTCCTTTATACAAAATATAAAGGATATACGTCCTGTTATAATAAAAGCATGAACAAAATATACAAAAACATCATATACAGTATATGTTACGGTCAGAATGTAAAACCAGGAATTTCACAGAAATCCCTAAATATTTAACCAGGCTTAAATGCATTTAATAAAATATTTAGGGATTTAGGAATTTAATGAAGTCCCTGGTTTCCCATTCTTACTATAACATATACGTATAACATGAATGAATCCTTTAAAATCCATTAGGAATGTTGGAGAACCCCAGATGTTTTTCTATAAGGAAAGCTTTAGGGTTACTGCAGAACATTCTTAAGAGAATATTTTCTCCACCAAAAATGTGTGGCAAGGGAATTCCTAATGGATTTTTAGAAAAGCATCCTTTGGGTGTCTCTCTCCGAGCGCACGGCATGGAGACGGGCTCAGGGTTACTTACTGGTGTCCTCGGGTTTAATCTGGGGGGTTTCTTCTGGGACAGCAGGCGTGGTAAGGGGTGACTCACAGGTGTTAGTGGGGGCAGGGCTGTGACAATCCCCATTTAGGGAGACTTTGGGACCCTCTGGAATTTCCTTCCCCTTCTCAGTCTACGGATGAAAACCAGGGCGCCGCGCAGAAGCAGCACGTCGCCGTTAAACAAACGGAATGGGATGGGTACAACAACGAAAATCAAACTTAGGAATCAAACAGGATGGAGAAACAGAAACCAAAAGGGAACTTCCTGAGGCCACCAGCTGGATTTCATCCGGGGATAATTCTTAACTGCTTTGTTCAGGCATCCCGTCTGGTTTTAAATTGAAATTCTAAAATATATTTTTTTTAAATCATGTACTTAGCATTTATCTCCAAAGGGGACACAAAAAATTAATACAGCACAGGGAGTATCACGACTATAGGCCTGAACTCCTGCTGCATCTCATCAGACTAATCATTTCTTACATTTGACAATTTCAGAAAGAGAGAAATCCATATTATGCTGAAAAAGCCCAGATTTGTTAACTAGTACGTCTGAGCAACATTAATGCTTTAAGAAAATATAGACCAAAAACAAAAGAAAAATCTGGCCAAAATGTGTCAGAATTCACCATGAATGATGGGATATACAGCTTTCAAGTAACCATGACCATTTCCCAGCGGTAGAAATCAGCTGTGTTAAGAGACGTCATTCAATGTAAGAAGCAGAAGGCAGAGGATTTGCCAATGTCCTTCTAAAACTGTGAAGCGGTCATGATATCTATCAGGCAGCTGATATCTATCGGTCCTGTTTAGCAGGGCCAATTAATGAGAATGACTCATACTGGTGAGGACCTTAGACTGTGGTGTACTATAACAATAGTAAAGTTAGTAACAATGCTATAGCAGTAATAGTATAGTAGTGATGCTATAACAGTTGTGATAGTACAGTTGTATCACTGGTTCTGATTTCTTCTTTTCTATTGCCTTACTAAGGTCATTTTTTCCCTGTCCTTTGCTCTTTGTGGCCCAGGGGGGTGAGAGACAGAAAGATGAGAGGGGAAGACAGGGCAGTGGGCAGAGGTAGAGAGGGCAGCGGCGCATGCGTGGCACAGCGAGGCAGAGGAGAAGGGGAAAGGAAAGCAGGGAGTCAGGCGATCGCCAGTCTGGATCGCAGAAGGATGGCGGAAACTGGGAGGCATTTGGAAATACTGTTCAAGCTTTTTTTTTTTTCTGAGGGGAGGAGCTTGGAATTGGCATTGGTTGTGTTTTTTTTTTAATTTTATTGATGCGCTCCCAGGCTCGCTCCTGAGACGTCAGGGCCACAGCCCCAGGCCTGTGCTCCGAGAGCAGCCCTCACTCCTTCAGCTACCCAGCTGCTGCTCAGCGGGTTCGGGATCGTACTTTGGAGAATCGAACCCTTGGCTGAGAGGATGGAGTCACCGGAGGGGAGTCTGACTGAGCCGACGACAGCGGGGTGAGTTGTGAACAGCAGGTCTCACCTTGATGAGCAGGGGCGACTACGATCTTAAAACGACTTGGAACAGTGTTCAGAAATGCATCTGAAACCAAGTCCAAACAGGGTCCCAATTTGCTTTTTGTATTGGTCTTGCCTTCGAGGCTCTCTTCTGAACTTTTAATACAGCAGCCAATTGGCTACAGGCAGGCAACCTTCGGCACTAAGAGCTGTTGTCACCGAAACGAAAACTTTCTTGATACTCATCAACCGTCACAGTCGGTTAAAGGAAAATAAAGATTTGGGCTGTGCCCAGATAATGTGCGTTCATGTTCCAGCCCTCACAATCTGCGCGTTTGGGATGCCAGACCACGAAGTACACAAATACAAACATCATTCCTGTTTGCTATTAAATTTAAACGGACAAAAAACAAATTCTTTCCCAACAGTTTGGAAGATGACAGAAGAACAGCAGCATCTACTCAGAGCACAGGATAAACACAAACTTCTTTGCGGTTACATTTTTACCAAATCCTTCAGCTTTCTTTGGTAGACTGAGGAGACGCTGTACACCCAGAATCTGCATCTAACTAAAGGAACTGACACCATCAAGATGTCCATTTTTAAACAGGATAATAACAGACAACTGTGCTGAGGGATTCCAGAATCACAAGGCTCTCCAGTGGCCTGGGTGTTTTGTATGAGCTTTTCACATACAAACATGCTTCCAGTTTTCCAATACCAGATACCACATGTAGGTACTCTAAAATAAAGATCTCACATTCTGTGGTTAAGAACATTAAATGCTTCTCAGACACAGGGCTGTAAAACCTAAACCATGGAAACCTTAATTCTGTCTCTTCCTAGTGTCTGCAGTCTAACGAGGAAGATGTGGGATGTTTTATACTTCCATCTTATTGAATAAAAGCTGAAAAGAACAAGGCAGGAACTCTGAGCAAGTTGCAAAAGATGACAGCAGGAATTATTGCAGTAAAGTTTGCAAGGCAAGATTATTCATCAGCTGTGCCAGGAAACCCAGAGACAGGAACTTGGAAGTGGACAGTCAATTGAGGCATCAACACACAGAACCATTACTCAGTGACTTCTCAAAGTAGACATTTTAAAAAGAAAATGTCAATTCTGCAAACTGAGGCGTTGTTCCATTATCAAAGTATTTCAAAGTCTAAGCACTGAAAGTTTCCATACTGTAAGTATGGAAAAGATCATATAAAAACATTAAGGTGATTCACGTAAAACATATACAGGATTCACAGAAAAGCGCAAATAGTGTTGTTCCTGTAAGAACAAAAGGAACGAAATGTATGTTCTAAAACCATCAGAAGCTGCAGTCAGGGCAGAGGGAGTTTACCTTCTTGTTACCACCTCCAGGAACGTGGCCGATGTTGCCCAGAGACCCAATCTTCGACTGGACCTTGAAATCCATTTTCTCCGATTTGATCTCCACATTGCCCCCTCCTGGTGATGGAGGATATTACACACAGTCAATGCAGGTTCACTGGGTATAACAACACCACCCAAGAATAAAGTGCACTGAAAGAATTATGGAGTGCTTAGTGAAAATTTGGCTTAACCCGCTTGGCTGAGGGCTGACCTCCTGGCCAGAGGACGAGGAGGCTGAGACCCCCCTTGCAGAGTGAGGGCAGCTGTAGAGAGGGGAGGGGGGGAGGAGGAGGGATGCAAAGAGACGTATATGAGTGAGAGAAAGGGTTCAGTATTTATAGTGCTTTAATGGAATGGAAGGAAATGACATCAGGAGTGATTTGCTAATTACTGCTAATTACTGAGTGATTGAACTTGGTTGTTGTCATCTCTCCTGTCTTTTGTAACCGTCTTGACAAACCCCTTAAAACAACACTTCACAGAGATACACTCCACACATATCACTGTTCATGACTAGAAAAGAAGCATCTGTTCTGATATTTCAAACATTGTGAGCTACATAGCAAAATATGAAGGTAATCATTATTTCCCAAATGTCTTTTTGCTACAATAATTCAGGAACAAATAATTGATGAGCTCTGGTTGAACATTTGGGATTAACTAACTCTGGTTACTCTGATTAAGAGAAACTTGCCTGAGTGTGAAGGCAGCTGACAAGGTTAAGGACATTTGCTCTGTTAACTGTAATCATTAAAGCTATGTTTGAAATGCTTGATACCTGTTGGAAGAAAAAGAAAACTGCAAACCGCCACATTTTACCATTTTTAAAATAAATTCATTTAGAAATAACTTGAAATTGTTTGCAATATTAACCAGAAAGAAATGTTAAATGCTAAGGGAAGCTCAGAGCAAGATACTTCCTTGATAGGCTGCAAATCAAAAACTTTTTAAGACTTTTTTTTAATAGTTTCTTAGTGGCTTTTTCTTAGTAGGAAAATGCAAATCGTTGCATATAATAAACTGATATGAAAGGCTCCTTTAACATATTTAAAATACTTTACTCTTACAAATTAGAGCTTCCAGGATATAGATCTGTCAGAAAGGAAGTCTATATGGTTAGTTTCTTTGTTCTGTCTGTACCTATAACGTTCCTTGGTCCTGTGTGCATTATTTATCAATGCATCAAAAGTCCCAAGACTCGTCACACAAAAATAAATACCTGGTTTGTGACGAATGTTGTCCTTGGATCCACACTTTGATGTGACGTTGCTCAGGTCAATCTTTTTGTGAACGATTTGGACCTAGTGAAGAGGTAAAGGAAAGGAGGAAGTTGGAAGAGAGCAGAATAAGTTCTCAGAGATAAAGAATCAAACCACATCCCGTGGTTTTCCCTGAGGCATCTCGTTCAGAGCTAGCGGACCACACGTGCACAGGAAGCAGGATTTGTGATCCAGGGTTTCCAGATTAATCGGTGCTCCAGGTGAGGAAAGGGTCCAGATCTCCATCACCGGGACAAATTTCTTAAAATCAAAAAAGAAAGCTGTAGGGTAGCTTGGCTCTAGACTATTCGAACAATGCAGGCGAGCAGAGCAAAAAAAATGTTTTCCTTCTGGCTCCGTAAATCGAAATGGGATGCTTTGGAAAACAGCTGTGCTCACAGATTCAGCAGATGTCGGGAGAAATCTGACAAAGTCATAACGAAATACCTAATGGCATTCAATTTGTATTGTTTATTGGTGCAGCTACAGGTCTTTCAAAACAGCCGTTAAGCTGACAGAAAACTTTTATTTACTTTTTCCTTCACAAAACATTGCTGAATGCAAGACACAGCTCAAAAAAGACTCTTTAAACAGTTGCTCCATGTTTCACATGATATGTAGCCCTTCTTTGAATGTCAGACAACTGTTTTGTCTGTTATTGTTTTGCATAGCACATTATCTATTACACTGATTTCTAGATTTTTGTTACAACACTACGTATGTAACTATGTAACTCTTACACTCTGCATCTTTTATATCTCTGTCATCGTGCTATGAATAGAAGTCACTAGCTAAACAGCATCATAATCTTCATGAAAGTAAAATTTGGGCCCTTTTTTATTCTGAGTCTTTTAAATATTTAAACAAGTGTTTTGAGACATCTTAGCAATGCTCAAGACCTACATGTCTTGTTTGCTTTTCTGCTTAACCTGGGCATTCCTTGTAACTATGTGCTGGAGCTCACAGGTGCTAAGGTCACCAACTGGGACAACTTTCAGCAAAATCAATTATGGGTTTCAGGGTCACCCGAAAGTTTCAGCTTTCTTTTCCTTTTGGTCTCCATCACACTCTAGGAAATTTGTCTCTGGGTGCAGAGATTTGTCTCTTACAGTCTTGACCAGTGAAGAAATACGAAGGACTGTGAGTGATCAGTGACATTAATGAGAACACAATTGGAGGTGACGTTTTAAAAAAATAAAAAATGAAATACCTTTCTGGAGTGAAACGTAAAGATTATCTTGGTAAGTACTGAAATAACAAAAACGATAGATTATATAACAAAAGATGAAATGAAAACAACATCAGGCTATCACAAAATAAATCACACACCTCTAAAATCCCACTAAGAGGGTTGTGGGTTCAAGATCCCATATTTGACACTGATGAATAGATTGAAGGGATATCCCACCTCAGTCTAATTCTACAGAACCTAAGTAACTCTGATCTGATGAGTTTCATGTACATACTTTACTATTTGTATTGTGGTCTAAAATTATTTTCTTACTTTTGAGAGCCTCAAGGAAGTCTCATTCCTGTCTGGTGCAAGTCCACCATGTTTAAGACATCTGAGCACTAAAGAAATTCAGCTATTAAATACCAAGTCAACACATCATATCTGTTTTACATAGTAACAGTTATGTCATTTTTGAGATTACGTCAAGTTTGAGATTAACGTATCTCTTCTGCGAACTAAATAAGCCTTAAAACCTAAACATGACTATTTTCCTCCTAACAAAAAATTAGGATTTTCCAGCAAAGACAGTGAGGAGAACATATAAGGTCTTGCTATGATAATAAATAGCTACAGAAACAGACTCCCATTTATTAGCAGCAAATCTGAATGCTCCCTTAATTATGAAAAATGGCTTGAGGGAAAAGTGCAAATTCAGATTATTTTAGTCAATCACTTTGAAAAAAGGTGTTAGACTTTTTTGCTTTAGCTTTACTTCAAATAAAGTTATTAAATGTATTAACACATATAAAGAGGTGACATCGCATCTCATCGTAATTTATTTGTGTGGCAACAGCTTGGTAACAGATATATTCAAGATCACTATTTCAAGAAAAGTTACAAACAAGAGAAGCTTTAACAGCCCGTCCGTTCGGCCCGTTATAGAAGCCAGGGTATCGGCTTCAGCAACATGGTTGGGCAGCCTGTTCCAGACTCCCTTGAGAATGCAAGAGTCGAACCTGCAACACCAGGAGTATGCAGGTCCCAAAAACAGTGACTGGCCACCCTGACCAGACATGTTTTTGAGTCTTGAAAGCAGGTCAGCCTAGGAGCAGATACAGACTCTTTGAACGCATTCACAGACACAGCAGCCGAGCTGCTGCCAGACAAGCCTGTCAAGAACACTCATGCTAAACGAGCCTTTGAGTGCTGAAGTGACAGCCATCAGCCCATATCCCACAATTCAGCAGGGCCACAGCTCGGTGTATCATTACGGATCAGTCTGAAACCCTCTACTGATCCAGCTGACGCAGACACTAAACCTGAGCCAAAATCCATACCAACTGTACTCTACAGTCTTCATCCATTAGACCTGTTTTACATGCACAGCTCTGATAAGCATCCTAAAAAGCAGCCAGTTAATGCAATGCAATATCCCTGTCATATTGGTATATTGAACCAGAATGAAAAATAAATCTCAAACACTAAACCACATCCTGTAAAAGGTACTGGTGCCCATCCACATGTTTGTAGTTGCTTTTTTGTTCAAACACATGCATCCTTGTTTTAGCAGAGGTGTGATTTTGATAGGAAAAACTCTCCTATGAAGCATTTCCCATACAAGTATACCCTGTACTCATATTCACACCACTGGGCACTTTAAATTGTGACTTTTAAGTTTCCCTCTTAAGACGATCTCAGTCTCCTCCCTATTTCCTACAAAACCTTCTACCATGCTTAAATATTCTTTCTTACTTTTTATCACCAAGATTCTACTAGGACACCAGGCATCAAAGGCATCCAAAAATCTTCTAAACTTAAACTTAATTTTGGCAAATTGCTTCTGTGAACGCTGTTAACATACTTAGAAAATGCCAGGTTAAGAACTACCTGCTCACCCATTTGCAATCAGTGGTGAGGATACTGTGTCTGATCTCATTTTTTAATTTTACCTTTATGCACAATCCTGTTAAATCAATTTCTAGAGCATTTACATTTCCAAAAGAAATTTCCCTAAACTCAGGTATAGCACCAATGTGTGCACGTTCATAGCCATGAACTTACTGAGTGTCCCAGCACTAACACTGCCTGGCTGGCCCTATTTTTTAGAGCTACATGCAGCTTGAAAATTCTGTGGTGAAAATGACAGTCAGCCAGCAGAACTGAGAGGCTCTTCTGCATTTCCTCCTCAAGCTGTGCCAGGGAGTGCAGTTTGTTTTCCCATCGCTGGAATACACCTGCGGATCCTGGACACGTCCTTAGCCATAAAATAAGGTTGTGGCACGCACATGCCCTCTGATGTTGAGGAAATCTCAAACCAGCAAATGTGGAAATGTGTCATGTCCTCCAAGGGGGACCACAACAGTCACTGGTTGAGATTGCAATGAACTGTGCTCCAGTGACTCCCAGGCCTTCCTGTGGTGATGCCAGAGCTGCGCATATGCCCAGCTGATCTGCAAATTCACCAGTCTGCTCCACGGAACTAGTTGGCAATACCTCCATGTAACAACACACTCGGTTCTTACCAGAGACCATTAGCACAGCAAGAAGAGCCAAGAGAGATTTGGTCTCCCTCTGTAGGACAGATCCGAAAGCAATTCCTTCGTTTGCAGCAACATGATCACATCCCTATTATGCTGCTGAATGTTTTGCTGCCACACACTTCAAATGCATTAGTTGTTCTCTAAGCAACTCACAATGGAGTGTCAATCACAGGAATATCACCATGGTGGGGGGGGACAGAAATGGCAGGAGGACAACATATCAAGGATCAGGGCTCAGGCAGAGAGAGTTACCAGGACACACAGCAGCCACTGCCTCTCAAAGTGCAGAGCAGGAAGGGCAGCGTGTCTCGTGCCAGCCATAGTAACTCAGTATGGAGACCCCACGTTATCACGTTACTGAAGCATGTCAGTGGAGACACGCACACAATAAAAATGAGTTTACTCTACTCTACGCATTTTCCCCATCAGTGATGCCATGCAGGATAAGGAGGCCATTCATTGCTAGGAACAGAATTTTAGGAGCTGTTAACAGGACAAGTCAGCAATTGTGAAGTTAAACACTCAGGTTGTGGTAGTAAAGATTATATCAAACCAAACAGACGGGCAGAAACGCAGTTGTCAGGGACAGAACAGTCAGGATTGACAGACGCCAATTTCTGCCAAGTAGGTGGTGTCATGCAATAGGGTCTTGGTCCCATACAGGCTTGAGAACAAGAGGACAGACGGTCTGTTTTCTCTGTCTTATTGCAAAACAAATGTGTCCTGTTGCCGGGGATGCAAAATTAAAGCATTCAAGAACATCAATCTTGTCTATATTACATTTTGATACCAATTCTTAGCACCTGACGTTGCTTGTTCCAGTCAGATGCAATCAGTGGATTAAGATGTACTCCTCGTGTAAACTGTACAGCTGAGGAATTATGCAGCTCACCAGATCCAACCCCTGATCAATCTTTGCTTCAGCACATCCGGAGTGGATGGTAGTGCTTTCTGGCTCTGGACGCCTCATTTACATCTTTCCGTTGGCAACAGGGAAGCATCAGGTATCACCAAGATGCTTACGGCCTCACGTTGAACTGCTCATGACTGTCAAAGCATGCCAAGCAGTTCTTGTGCTGGAGACTGATGCTGGTGAGGAAGGGCCACCAGATTACCTTCCGCTTGTGCAAACGTGTGGCAGGGGCTGTGAGTTCATGCCACACGACCAGATCTTTTCTTTATCTGGGATGTATTTAAGAAGCATCCAGGCAGCACAGACCAGCAAAGCCTGTGCTCAAAGAACAGGCTGGTTCAGCTCAGGGCAAGCTTCGATCCAACAGATCCTTAAGCTACAGTTCCCAACTGACTGCGAACTACCAGGGCAGTGTGACACCTGGGCTACCCAGGGCTTCCTCAGCTCACTGCTCAACACAGAGCCGCATGGCCTCAGTTTCTCTGTGGGAGGACTGAGTCCTGCACTTAACGCAATGGCGTTTTGGTAGCACGTACCTCCAGATGCACGTTAGCACCTCCTCACTGGCCCAACAGGTTCAGTGGGAAGTATCACAAGGAGATAACTCCAGGCACCTCCTCCACATTTTGAATAAAAAAAATAACTCGCAGGAAACTGAACACGTCTAGGCGGTTATGGAAGGATTTAGGACCAGCCTGACAAGAGCAATGAATCAATGAATCTCACTGTGAGATTTGCTCAGGGGATGAAGTTGGAGACACATTGCCATTAATTGATTTAATCACATGGAACCACCCTTAAGCTTTTTTTCTGTATGTGGCAACATCAGGAGGAATTAGCCAGGAGTCCTAGCAGGAGTGGTAGAGTGTTCTTTGAATGCTTTAATGACAGCAAATCATCTGATCTGTGGGGTGGACTTGTAGCCATGGCCAAAGTCTTAAGGACGCAACTCAAAAAAAGAAACACTTATTGACATGAAATGTTCTTGTCTGCCAAGTGATACCTCTGTTGGTCTGGTTAATGTCTCACACGACCGTAGCTGCTTAAAAATAAAGTGAGTGACATCACTCAGAATACTTAATTTATTTGCAGCGTAGGTCAGAATTTCTAAAAGGCTTAGTGATCGAAAATTAAAACCCACGTCCTTCGAGTGGGGTTTCCACAGGGTAGAATAAACGGGCCTCCGGATAATGAAGCAGGTGTCATTAATTATGATGACGGAAATTCCGTAATCATAATGATAACATTTTAAAAAATCACCCTAATACTAAAAATAACTTTCATTTTTATCACATTTCAGACGCAACAAAGTTCTTTCAAATGAAAACCCAGTTTTCTGCAAAGAAGAGGTACACTTTTTACATAACTGATACATTTTAAATAATGTACTGTATGTGAAACAAAATAAGAGATACGCATCACCCCATCTTCTGAAGCCCTGGTTTCTCCAAGGAAAAAAAAGGTTTTAAACTAAATTACTGATTCTGTCCCAGAGTATTTAGTCCAGGAATCCAGGACAGGCTCCAACAGATGCCGTAAATGATCTCATGTCTCTACTCTCTAAAGGCTAAAACATGGAGGCCAGAAGATAGACTCTTGACAGGAGCTTGTTTCTCTCGGCTTCTCCTGCGTCAGCTCCTCCAGGGTCCAGCTGAGGACCAGACTGTTCACAATTGGAAATATTGTCCTTAAAGTTTTGGCCAGAGCTACAGGATGATCTTAACTGTAGGAAGACTCACACCCAAACACTGTTCATCCCTGAGTTACTCACAGTGCCCCCTCCTGGGATATGCTTGATATTGTCTTTGGAGCCACACCTAGACTGAACACTAGTAAGGTCCATCTTCTTATTAATAATTTGTACCTGGAAGAGGCAGGGGGAGAGAGCATTATGCTTCAAGTGGCCCAGTGCAGTCAGTACTTAAGGGATGCTGAAGACAAGGGTGGGTTCAGGGCTGTAAACCTACAGAAGGATTTGGACCTGTACTGTAAACAACTGTTCTGAAGGGATCAATACTTTTTCACTCCTCAGCCTGAAAGCAGCCCTTGCCTCACTTTTCAGGCGCCATGGAGATAGCTAAGTTTCAAACTACCCATGACTCCAGACCCTATGGACGATAAGGCGTACTCCTGCTGCGCCTCACAGCCCTGGAATTCTATCCCTAAGGTTATCAGAGAGTCATCTTCCCTGAGCTCTTTCCAATCCAGGCTCAAAACCTTCTTCTTTAGAAGGGCTTTTGTTTAACTGGTTCTGTGTCGGCCTCTTTGCTTTTCTACTGTATTCCAAACCCTCATTGTAATTGTGTAATTCTACAGGCTCCTCTCACTGAGTGCTTTTTTTCTTTACTGTAAAGTAAAGAAGTCACTTTTAAAGGCGCTCTAGGAAATCAGAGCTTTATTATCATTTTTATTATAGACGCACCTGTCACAGAAGCCCGGAAGTGTGCATGTGTGTGTATTTCTCTCCCGTGAGTCAGCACGAGCAGTTCGGAAGAAACAAAGCCTTCAAACCAAACAACGGTGGGTTGCAGGGGGGGGGAGGAATATCACTGGCAAAAGAAAAACTAACTACGAATTCGAAAGCAAATTGAATTCTTTGTCTCCTGTATATCTTATTCTCAGAAAGTACTAACCGTCTTTAAATAAGGTCTTTTTCACTTGCCAATGAAATACGTGTGCACTTATGCGCTCTGTACAGCCCCGCCTTCAAGCTCTTGTGTGCTCAGACAATGGGGAAGCAGTAGGGCGGTGTGGAGACTCTGTGGCTCAGGATCTGTGCCTGTGGCTGGAGGGTTGCCGGTTCGTATCCCGCGGCTGGCAGAGGAATCCTACTCCGTTGGGCCCCTGAGCAAGGCCCTTAACCCCAACTGCTCCAGGGGCGCCGTATAAAAGGGTGTACTCTGACCCCAAGCTTCTCTCCCTGTCTGTGTGTCTTGTGGAGAGCAAGTTGGGGTATGCGAAAAGACAAATTCCTCATACAAGAAGTTGTATATGGCCAATAAAGTGATCTTATCTTATCTATCTTCCTGTTCAACTTCCTGGAATTTTGAATGCACATTCAGAGTCTAGGGGGAACACAAGCTGACGCAGTGGCTTGGCACTGCATTGAGACCACCCCACCTACCCACCCATGGTGCACTGGAGCCCCAGGGCCCCCCTCACACATCTCGAAGCTGAGCCTCACCTTTCCGCCCCCAGGCATGTGCTTGATGTTGTCGATCGAGCCGATCTTGGACCTCACGTTCTTGAGGTCGGGCATCGGGGCCAGCGGGACAGGCGCGCGGTTCTTGACGGAGGCCGGGGACTTGGGCGGAGTGCGCACCACCGCCACCTTCTTCGCCTCTTTGGCGGCGGACGCGGACGCCTGGCCCGGCGTGTGGGAGCGGCTGCCGGGGGATTTGGGGGTGCTGGGACTGCTGTAGCCACTGCGCTCGGGGGTCTTCGGGGATTCTGCTCGGGGGGGAAGAGCGAGAAACAACATCAGGATCGATCATTCTCCTGCAAAAAGTCACGGGACCGGACGGTCCCTGGTTTCTTCTCTGGTCCAGTTTTGAAGCTGCTTTGTCACACAGGGACAAATATCACACACACCCCGAGTCATTCTGTTGTGAGGAATTGCAATGAAGAGCATTCCGTTTGCAACTAATTTTGTAAACGGGACAAGACCATTCCAGCGTATATACGTCAAAGTGAAACTGGCAATCTTTGTGCAAAATTCTTTACGACGGTGAAGTTTCTTTTCTTTTTAGTGAATAATGCCAGCAGGCGTAGCACCCTGCAACTCATTGCTGGCAGCCCGCTGAAGCTCAGCAGGTCTGAGCCTGGAGGGGAGACCTCCTGGGAAAAACTAAGGTTGCTGCTGGAAGAGGTGTTAGTGGGGCCAGCAGGGGGCGCTCACCCTGCGGTCTGTGTGGGTCCTAATGCCCCAGTGTAGTGACGGGGACACTATACTGTAAACAGGCGCCATCCTTCAGATGAGATGTAAAACCGAGGTCCTGACTCTCTGTGGTCATTAAAAATCCCAGGGCGTTTCTCGAAAAGAGTAGGGGTGTAACCCCAGTGTCCTGGCCAAATTTCTTATTGGTCTTTACCAATCATGGCCTCCTAATAATCCCCATCTCTGAACTGGCTTCATCACTGTTCTCCTCCCCACTGATACCTGGTACTGGGAAGAGTACTGGTTCATCATCCAGGTGGGGCTGCACACTGGTGGTGGTGGAGGGGATCCCCATTACCTGTAAACCACTTTGAGTGGAGTGTCCAGAAAAGTGCTGTATAAGTGTAAGCAATTATCATTATTTTAGTTTTTAGTGGAGTATGGATTTACAGATGAAGTTAACTGGATTGGCCTTCTTTGTATGCGCTGCATCAGCATTTACACCTTTGCAATGAATCTTGACATGGACAACACCTTTCGGCCAAGATCTGAACCAAGAGCTGTAGTGGCAGTATAACAGCCTGGTTTTCCAGCAGAGAAAGGCACTTAATCCTTCACCTCATTCCTTAATATACCCCCCAAAGACTGCACTCACTCCACCACATCCATCATCTCCTATTTCATCTGCTGCTCCTCTTGCAATCAGACGGACGCTCAGAGTGGTAACCGTATCCTGAAATAATCATCCATTATTTTCTATCGATTGGGGAGTGTTGTTGCAGTATGAGCTCACCAGAAGAAGCTGCAGGCATGCCTGCCAGGGCTCCAGAAGTGGGGGTTTTCGCTGGGATTTTGGACCCGGGAGCCTGAGATCTAGCGCCCCCTGCAGCCTTGGAGGCCGGGCTCCTCACTGCACCCTTTGCTTCGGCACCCTGTCACCAACAGGAAACAGCGTCATTGCTGGCATCTCGCCTTGCAACCAGACAACACGCATGCTGTTGGCAGTTCCACTTGCAAGCGGTTCAGGTACCATGTTTAAGCATTTATAAACATGTATGGCATTTATGAAACAAGGAAACCGGGAGATACACAAAGAGACAAAGGTATTTCTATTGTTATTGTTGTATTGTTGTAATTATAATTGTGTCCTATCTTGTGAAATCTTCTTAATGATTGTTGTAGTCTTAATATTTATTGTTATTGTCATCCTGTAAAGCGCTTTGAGAAGCCACCTTTAAAGGCGCTATATAAAATAAAGTTTATTATTATATTATTATTATTTTTTACTCCAGTCAGAACTAGGCAATAAGGCAGTGATGGGATTTAATTCCGCACAGATATTGTGGAAGAATTAGAATGTGGCCACATGCCAAAGTCTTAAGCAAAGACATTAACATGTAAGTGCAATGCCGTGGCCAAACACCCAGCTTAGGGAACTTTCAATTTGTGGGTTAGTTTCTACGGAAGCTTATTAACGCAAGGGAGAAAAATAAATGCGTTTATACGAGATAGTATTGCGTTTATACAAGGAAAGTATCTCGTTTCTACGACAAAATCATTGCGTTTATATGAGAAATGCATCTCGTTTACACGCACACTAAACGAAATACTGTATCGCATGTGGCCGCCTTTGGAGGTTGTGGGAGCGGTCTTACCAGCGTGGTGAATAGCAGGGACCGCAGCTGTTGGACTGAAGGGAGATTTCCCTTTAGCTCAACTGGCTGGGTCCCTGTTGAGTGATGCCAGAGGCCCGGGTTCGAATCCCCAGCGGTGGGGGGCCGACCTGAGGCGGCAGCGGCGAGGGCGCATACCCACAGAACCCCAGAGCGCTACAATACCATCCCATACAAACGAGATGATTTTTGTTCTCCGTGGCGCTAATAAACTTCCGTAGATTCCCCCCGGAGGCTGAGCTGAGAGCTCCTGCACGTGCAAGGTGCCTTCCTCACTCAACAAAGCTCCCTCTCCTGGGAGTGGACCCCCTTTAAAACAAAAAGGCCTCGAACGTGTTCAAAACCGCCGGGGTCCCCCGAAATGAATGAAGGGCGTGGCAGCCGAAACAAATCTGACTGGGGTGTCCCGTTTACGAGAAAAACGGCAACAACGAAATAATAAGGTAGCGAATTCGCCGCTCCCACCCCAGTTCGTCCCCCATCGCATGGGCTCGAACCTGGGTCTCCGGCATCACCTGACAGGGGTATTGCCGGCTGAGCCAAAGACCTTCCTCAACCCAGCCGGCCGACCTCCCTGTTACGCGCAGGGGCGTATTCGTTACACTTATAACCCCGGTGGTGCATATGCACTGGCAGTTCTCCCCCCCCAGGCAGGGGTGAACGATCACTGGCGTGTTGCACTCCGGCACTCGGACCCCGGGATCCCCATTACCTGTAAACTGCTTTGAGTGGAGTGTCCAGAAAAGTGCTATATAAGTGTAAGCAATTATTATTATTTTAGTTTTTAGTGGAGTATGGATTTACAGATGAAGTCAACTGGATTGGCAAAGAGAAGCCAAAGAGCGGAGACTCCGATAGGCAGGAGACGCGACACAGATATCAAGGCACGGATTCGGCCGCACAGCGCCAGAGCACGTCTGTTTGCCTGTTTGTCCTGGGCTTGATTTCACGGGGGAGAGGAAGAAGAGAAGGCGGGCGAGGGGATAGGGTCACTACTGGGTTGCGGAGGGGAAGCGGCAGCAGGTGAAGGAAAAGGACAGCGACGCACTGACAGGCAGACGACTGCCTTGGTCTCCCAGCTGATGCTCTCCTGGCGTACTCACCCGCGGCTTGGCATCGCGGGGTCCTGCCCCGGGCTTACTGGTCACCGAGCCGAGTCTGCTAGCGGGGGAGGCCGCAGTGGAGGACGTCGGGCCGGGAGCGGTTTTTTTCGGGGGGGCGGTGGTGACTGAGGAGGGTCGTTTTGGGGTGGAAGTGGGTCTAACTTTGGTGGCAGATGTTTGGGGGGTCTTTGCATTGAAAGAAAAAGCAAAAAAAAAAAATGTAACAAAAAAAACCAAAACAAAGCAGCAAAAACATAAAGCCAACGACAGGTGGATGACAAGTCAAAGAAACGCTTCTGCGCTTCTATATGAAACTGAAAAAGTGGATGAGAACTCAGCAAGGCTGGTATAGGAAGTTGCCTGTCACGCACTGAAAAGGTCAGAATGAGGACTGAGTCTGGAGAATTGTGCAGGCAGGAGGCCGTAATCGTGCCTGTTTTGATACTGGATTATCAACTCTTCCCGAGTTATGCCTGCCAACAATTTCAAATACCATCCCTGCAAAAATAAAACCATGCACTGTGAAATTAAAATTGGCAAAACGGCAGAAATCAAATGGTTTTTGAAGCAAATGTAGTCAGAAAAGAAATGCCGGCAATAAGGATGAGTGGACTGTGTCATAAATAATGTCCCCTGCTCACTATTCTCAGTTATCCATCTAGTACCATCCTACTGGGTCCAGTAATGTGATAGAAATTTGGTGCACAAAAGTCGTAAGGTGTGAAAACACAGGGACTTCTGCTTCATATCTCTGTACAGTTTAGCAAGCTGTTCTAGGAGTAGAAAATCAGAACGAAAAACTGTCCCGTTTGGACCTCTTTAAGTCTTTTAGTTGAAACGGGAAAGAACCACACTCAGGAGATGAAGATACCCACGCAAGACGGACACGTCTCTCAAGAGCTCACTCCTCTCACTTCAGACAGAGGCTCAGCCAGGTCACCTACCTTCACTTTTACATCAGCAGGAGTGTGTTCTTTTTCAGCTTCAGCCTTTGCTTTAGCTGGGGAGGAAAGCACAGCAGGAGAGTTAATTCTTCACTTGGAATAAACGCACAGATCACCTCCAGGTAGAAATGCTTGGCGCCCATAAATCACAGAGCTTTATCACAGCTAAGCCTTTATCACTTGTGCGGCTTTCTCAACAGTCCAGCCAGCTGTGCTAAGGAAGTTGTTAATCACTGAAATTCAAGAGCAGTTTAGGAACAGTCCTATTATTAAAAAGGTGTCTTTTTTTTTGAAAGTGCGTCAGTCTGTGCACTGATAAAAAGGTCCATAATACAGCTCTAGTGGGAATCGTTCAGAACCGAATAACAGCAATTACTGCTTCACAGCATGACTGTCTGGCTGTTATTTAAGCTGTCAGCTGAAAATAAATCAGAGACTTGATCTCCCAGACCTAAATTCTTCCAGGTTCAATCTCCATGTTTGTTTACGAAAGTCACTAACAAGCTTGTAAAGCAGATGTTGATCTTTACTGTATATTGTACTGTATGGTACTGAGTTCACTGTATGTATTCACTCTATTTGAAAGAACAAATGTGAACCGAAAACACAATCTTGGGAATCATTCTTGAAGAGCACAGCTTTGGAGTAGCAGGTCACTGAAAATGTTGAAAGAATAAATATTCTCTTATATTACAAGAACTAACAGCTGAGGTTTTAAACCAAGGGTCAAAGTCTTTGGACTATAATATTTAATAGTTCAGGTGGGGAGCTGCATCAGCATGCGTAGGCTGCAAAGGAACAAGTAACAGGTTTATTCCAGGCTGAAAAGAGAAGAAAGAAAACACAACGTTTCAGTCTGGGAACACCTTCAGGTGTGACTGGGAACACCACACCTGAAGAAGACTCCACGGCCGAAACGTTGTGTTTTCTTTCTTCTCTTTTCAGCATGGAATAAACCTGTTACTTGTTCCTATAATATTTAATGCTTATTATTTTCACTCAAGTATGTGCCGGCAATCTGTGATCACAGCACTCAGTATTCTGGGAATACTGGCCCAGCCACTGTAGTAACTGGCCACTAGCCAGTGCACTAACACTCAGTCCTTGTGTTTAGAGTTCATAACAGCTTCAAATTAAGACAAAGCACAATCTCCTGTTCCTGAATCCAGGTTTAAGAAGATGAGAATCTATATCATCTGAGCAGCAAAATGAAGTTTTACATTTCAAAGTCGTTGTTTTTACAAAATGCAGCATAAAAGCTAAACCAGTTTTTACTTGCCCAGAGGGGATATTAATAATAACGGAAATCAGGGCATTATTTCTCAGCACAGGAGCATAAAATGTGTTTTTCCGCCCTTATTTTTCAGCAGTGTAATAAATAGGCTATACAGCAGGTTAGCCGCAGGTGTACACACACGGGGAAAAACTGGTTCTGAGCTGTTGTGCAAAGCCATGCTGTGAATATTACAGCTGTTGGGCAATTCCATATTAACACAGCTCACGTTTTTGCTGCCGTGCTCGGCTTGGAATTCAAATCAGTTTCAGACATTTTAGAAACAATACAATTAGTGGCGGATTAACGAACAGGCTGGCAAAGGCTGCAGCCTAGGGGCCCAGATTGATCAGAGGCCCCTGACTGGCTAGAATTATTGTTATTGTAATTAATACGACCGACATACAGGTTGTACGTGCCGGCTGCGGCGCGGTGACGTCACCGACCTCCCCTGCGCATAACAGGGATATCGGAACCCGAATTTGTGACGTTATTATTAATTTTGTAGCGGACATGATTTAAAAACGTTAAATAATTAAAGAATCGATGACAGGTTAGATGCAATGGGTTTGCAGTTCAAATTTATTTCGGCGGAGTTTATATCGCGGATGTGTCTCTCAGTGGGGTCTCCTCTGGTGCACGTTTACGGAGCTGGTAGTGACGCGCCTGACTCACACCTGCGGGTCGGGATAAAAAAAAAGCCGACCTGCACCATCACTAGTGGCTAGCGTCAAAATGAGTGATAGAAAATATGACAGTGTGGCGCAAAAACGAAAAGCACAGCATTTAAAAGAGCAGCGTGAGTCGGATCTACTTAAAAACATCCCCACACTGGTTATTTCAAGTCTGCTGGATCGTCATCCACTCAGCTTGAGTCAGACCCCGAGTTTACGGCTGCCTAAGTAGTATCTATCAAGACTGAATCACCTGGCCCTGATGCCCATAGGAAGGTTAGAAAACCTTCTCAAGGTAAGAACATGCTTTTTTTTTTTGCATTGCTGTTTGGTCCGTTGCCTGCATCTTTCGTATCTAATCGTAGATGCCGTGTATTGACCGATCTGGGTCTATTGGCTGCAGTGGACTGGCGTGAGTTGGGAGTGTCCCGTGATTGTTGGTGCTGTTCTGGAAATGCGCTCGCCCAGGGTGCTCACTGGCCTCTGCTGTGTCGATCTTGTTGTTGTTGCATGTGGTCGGCCTCAAAGCAAGCGTGCACATGATTTCTGTTGTCAGCAACAGATTGGCTTGGAATCTGATTAATTGGTTGCGGTGCTGTATTACATTACAGGCTATAGGAGTGTGTGTGTTCCCTAAGTGTGCCGCGTCATATTCCGTTTGAATCGCCGGTAGCAACCTCTAACTAGGAACGCGTCACTGAATTATTACAGTATTTTAACTCGCTTTTTTCTTATAATGGGATGGGTAGGAGGGGACTACACAACCTGTAGCCTAGGGGCCTCTGATCACCTTAATCCGCCCCATTTGGCGATTGCAATTTTCAATTTATTTCCTATGTAAAAATACACGTCCGGGAAAATGAAACACCAGCTGTCTTGTTGCTGGTGTCGCCAGTCAAAAATGTAACGTGTTTGTGCTTTATTCTGTCATTTCTCCAGTGTTGTTGCAGTTGAGGCAGATAACACTTAAATTCCAGAAGACAGATTGGTCTAATTTCTTTCACATTCTAAAGAAGTCTTGAAATGCATGCCTGCACGAGACTTGAGTCACTTAACCTCTTTAAAAGGCAAAAGCACTGACTGACAGGTATTCCAAACAAGAGCCTGAATAAAACTATCCTATTTTTTGTTCTGCTATCAGTTCACTCCCTAAAAGTGGTCTGTGTACAGCTGATAAGGGTAACAGTTAAAATTAAATGTCACTGGCGCATGTATTATCAGAAGACATTTGCTGTTGGACACAGCAGACTAATAAGGAATCGGAATTTAAGTTTTTGACATTCAAACCCCTAATGAAATAAACAGGAGTACTTTAAATTGCAAATTATTTTAATCTAAAAAGAATCAGGCATACATAATAAAAATGTCTGTACAGAACGATGTTTAATTTTCTATCTCGGATGAATAAATACTCGTGGTGTGAAAAAGCAGGAAATTATTTTTTTCTAAGAGCCCAACATAATGAAGAACACATTCTGTATGTTTAACAAGATATAATTGCTCAAGAAGAAAGATTTGTTCATCTGACTTCAAAAGCTTTTAAACGTGTAGATTTAGATATGGGACAATAGTTTTCACAGTAGGCTAGAGGTATCTCTAATGCTTTGTTCATCTGAATGACATTATAAATTGTGTCCAAATCAGAGGTGTCCAATCCAGGCTTAACTGGGCCACTGAACAGCTTCTCCCAGCTCTTCAGATGCTGCTGCTTTAAAAAGAGAGCTTTAAAACCTGCAGACACACCAGCCCTGCAGAATCAGTAGACACCCCTGATCTAAGATATTGCAGTGAAACATGGCAGGACTACATCCTAGACAGTACGCCAGCCCTTTGCAGGGTACTCAGTCACATAGAAGCACAATTTACAAGACCTAGCTGAACCTATCCAGCATGTCTTTATAAGGTGGAAGGAAACTGGAGTGTCTGGAGAATACCCACAGAGGAAGAACATGCAAACTCCACACAGAAAGTACCCCCATCCCAGAATCGAACCCCGGACCCCAAGAAACTGTGAGGCAGCTGCGCGAGCTGCCATTCCACCATGCTGCACCAAGAACCTCTCCTTCAGTTCCAAAACTCGAAGTAAAAAAGGTTTGTGGGAGGAAAGGTGAAGCAAAACACTGAATGGAAAACTCATCCATGCCTGCAGCAATGTATATCCAGCAATGGTAACCGTGGATATCTACAAATCAAAACCATTCTCATAACCTGCACAGCTTTCACAGAAATCACTTGTATTAGGAAAGGTACTGCAGTCATGCCATGCAATTTCAGGGAGAACTAGTGACTTATTTAAAGGCAAGCATGATGGAGGCGATGTGGAATGGTTAGAGACAGGCACAGAGACATGCACGCAGCCCCTGTGACGTAACAGCCCAGGAAACGTTTAACAACAAGACAGGGCACTTCACCGAAAACCCAAGGACAGGACAGCCAAAGACCGGGAGAGAGAGAGAGAAAGAGAGCGCAAGAGAGGGACAGGAAGAGAAAACCAGTCGCCACAAGCTGGAGTTTTTTTTTTTTCTTCTTCTAAACCAGACAGATTCATTCGCAGATGGGCTTCAGAAAGGGGTGCAGCCTTAGCTGAGCTTGGTCGCTTTTCAAAAACGATCTGTGAGACAGAGCTGGGGGCGGGGAGGGGGGAGGGAGTTTAAAACGATTAAAAACAGACCTTTTCCGTGTGCGACTGGAGCACGTGTTTGTCTTGGCGGGGCAGCGTCTTTCGGGCCCCTTCTTTGAAATTTGGCTGCGGTCCTGGGTGAGGAGGCCACCCCAGCTTCTGCGGGAGCCTTAAAGGAAGAAGGGGAGGCAGACCGCTGGTTGTCTCGGGGGTCTCCAGCTTCCATTTTGGGGGCGACCCCCTGGGCTTCAGGCTCTTCTGACACCACGGAGGTCGCGTCGGACGTCGCCGAGCTGGGGGGCTGCGCCAACTGAGCAGCCTGCACGGTGTCAATGAGGTCTTCATCCGTAGGCGCCGTATAATCAGTGGGGGCCACACCAGAGTCGCTTTCCTCGGCGAATTCCGGCTCGGTGTCTTCCCTACCGGTTTCTGCTGGAGGTGTGCCTTCCGTATTTGAGGTCGGAAAATCCCAGAAGCCGCCCGCTTCTTCCAGCTCGGACTGTCGGCGGCTCCCCGAAACGGCCTTTCTCTCGCTCGTTTCCACGTACGGGGAGATGGGGGATCCCGGAGAGGCGGCAGGGCTCGCTTCTCCCTTCCACAACGGCTCAACCCCGTTTTCCTGTCCAGGGCTGCCGAAAGCCAAGCCGTCTGGACCCGCCGGGCCATGGGGCTCAGCGTAATCGAAAGAAAGGACCCGTCTCCTCTCTTCCTCGGAGGGAAGGGGGAAATCTGGAGAAGACTCCGCCTGCTGTTGATCGTCGCCTGGCAAATCCTGCTCTCCACGGACTGTGGCCTCTTCTGCTGCCCTGAAACCACGGTCTGGAAGCTGTTCTCCAGCGTAGACGAACCCATCTCCCCTTCCTTCTTCCCGGGTGAGCTCGGCTGTCATGACGTTGGGCTCCCCAGACTCCGAGACCTGAGGATCTCTTTCCTCTTCGGACCCTGACAGGCTGCGGCCTGCCGAGATGTCACCAGAAGGACTTTCTTCCGGCTCGCTTTCGCGCCGTTCGGCTGCGTCAGGAGAGAGGAGCAGGGGTCTGCCTTCGGGGTGCCGGACAGGGCCAGAGGGGCTCAAAGGCTGATCTCCCTGCACCCCCTCTTCCTCGGCGAAGCCCCAGCTAGCGCCCTTCGAGCTGGGCCGACCAGCTCCGGCTGTGAAATCCTCTGGTTGTTGAAAAGTAGAATATTAATCATAGCCACAGGGAAGACGGAGGTTAGCAGGAGTCACTCTCCCGTTGGACATTAAGTGCAAACAAAAAGAACGAAAGAAAAAGCGAAAACCCCTCCAAAAACACATCCATAGACAACGAGACGCAGGAACACAACACATAAAGGACACATAAAACCAAAACAGTCTGCTGCCTTTAGGCACACACCCCTACCAAAAGAAATCGGATATTTAGTTCAAACTGGAAACCAAAAACTAGCCTGCAGGCACTTTTATAGGAAGCAACGATATGCCAGCTGTTTCGCCCATTTCCCCCTTTTGCGAAAAGATTTCAGCGGCTTCATGAATTCGCCGATGACCACAAAAGAGGCACGTCTCTCACGCACCAAACTGGCAAACGCGTTCCTGTTCATAAAAGTGCCGTACAGTTGGAGCTACAAAAAGGAACGCAATCCACCGGAAAAAAAAACCCAACCAAAACAAAACATAGGAGTACGCAACAAAAAGTAAACACTACTTAAAAAAAAAAAAAGCATTGGAACAATAATGAAATTCAACCTCCGAACCTGGATTGGATTAGCAATGCCAGAATGAACTGCAATGAAAATGAATTAAATGCAACACTGGCTGCCACAATGTCTGCGTGCAGATGGCATTCTGAATAGAGAAATCGGTTCTTGGTGGTTGGCACTTTAATGCTGATAACCAAAAGTGAGTATTTGATCCCCGTTCCCTCCACCTAGAGAGTTTGGTTCTCCCACTGGGATCAAGAATGAATTCTGCATTCGCTTTAAACCAATACAATTACTTCACTTTGGGTTAATGTGGCTCTTTATTTGCATGAATCAGAACCTAGAATCATAGCTTTGCAATGCAGATACTTAATGTTGTTGCCTTTAAGCCACGCTTGGATCACAGCAGTTCAGCCTTGCTTTAGATATTCAGAAGACCGTCCATCTACAGATTTGCAACCTAGATCTAGATAATGAGCAGGAAAAGCACTGTATTTCTGTAGATCCTATCCTGCAATCCCAGTCCTACTGCTGCTGTAGTTCTGTTCTCAATAGGTTTTAACAAGAAGGTAGTCATTACGTTCAGCGCAATCTCGACAAGGAGCTACAGGACCTAGAGGAAGTCTCATCATACCTTGTCCAGTCGCTGGGACAGGGGGCACTCCAGAACTGCTGGTTCCTCCTGGTGCTGTTAGGAAATACAAGCAGAGAGAGAGATAGCACCATGTTAAACATCGCATCATGTGGAAGCATTCAGGAGCAGGCAAACTGCTGGGCCCACAAGCAAAAACGCAGGCTCTGGGATATGTTTAGCTGCACAAACAAGGTAAGGACATTGCAAAAGCTTTAATTGCCCATCTGAAGCTGTACATTTCATCCTTGAACAAAGCACACCCGCCCCGGCTTGCAAACCTAGTCATTTGGGCACAAACAGCACAGTTTAATCTGGACAGGTGGACAAACCAAAGAGTGACTGCAATCAGCACGACTGCTTCTGGATGCTTGAACAACAGGGGTCTGGACATACAGTACTGACAGCTGCGAGGAGATTGCTAATGCATTCCCCCCCATGCATGATGGCTACATGAGAATTAGCACACAAGTTCAATTTATTACCCTACAGAAGCACTGTTCCAGTTTTGGTTTCTAAAATGAAAGAAAGCCCCATTTAAGGTACCACAAGTAATCACAGGATCAAGGTTTAAGTATAAATCTCTCCCATATTCACACCTTACTCGTATTTTTAGGGATTTATTTTTACAAGAAAGGATGCATGTCTTACAAGGGAAGAAATATAGTAAGTGCTGTTGCTTTTACAAGTAAAATTGTTTGAACATAATGCTACTACCTGTCATAAGCCGTATTATAACACCGTGTGCTTATATTATATACTGCATATAATCAGAATGTGCTTCAATGGAATGATGGTTTTCGTGAGAAGCAGTTAAATTATATATACAGGCGAGTGAGCAATGTCATTCTGTGGAGATGGGGGTGACTGACGCATGTATTTGGTGTCTCAATGTTCTCAAGCCAACGAATAGAATCCACTGTGCCCAGTGCAAATACTGTGACCATATTCTCCATATCATTTAACACCCCTTCAGGTAAACCTTTCAAAAATTAGTGACTGCTGGAAGGAGGCAGATTAGCCTTCCCCTTCGTTTCCTCTAAAAGGAAAAAGCAAAGCAAAATCACTTTGGAAATCTCATTTCTGCTCTAATAATGTGCTCTCATATCTGTACTCTGTACCTTAACTCTGGTCTTAACTGCCATATGAGGTGCGAAATAAAGATGGGTGATTATGATGCTGACGAAAGAAATACATTGGGATTTGCGTTGCCCGCGGACATGAGGTTGGCTTTGCAGAGGTCACACAGTGTTTCAGGAAGGATAAGGTCACTGCTGAGTTCTTTTGAGGGGCAGAGCAAAGCACTGCAGTGGCAAAACGGAGACGATTCTATGTTTTGCTAACAATCAGATCGTCACTATTTAAAGCTGGCTTTGCAACAGACAGGCCAAAAAGGCACCAAGCAACTGCAGCGGCCGGAGGAACTGCTGGCTAAAATAAAGCACTGGGAAAGCGAATTGACCCATTAACCTGCACCAGGATGCAGAGTTCACACAGCAGTGATGCAGCAGCTCTCGCCCAGGGATCTCCATGCAGCAGTTCAGAAGCAGTGGGTACAGCACAAGGCTACAGGAAGCAGGGTGGATAACTGCACAGCTGGAGCTAAAGAGCTGTCTGGATAAGCGCCACTGCGAGAGCTACTCCTGACCTGTTTCCTCCGGTACGTTCTCGTGATCCTCCGCTACCAGCGCGCCTTCTGTTGATGGAGCCGTCGCATCTGTTAAACCGACAGCGTTAACCTTTTACACCCAGTTTCTTTTTTTTTGTTGTTGTTGTGGTGGGAATACCCTCTGAAGAATGGAGCCAGCAGCAAAGAGGGAAGAGCAGCAGGGCCAGACTCAATCACGCCAGCACGCTTCAGATGCGTCTGGCTTTGCAAAAGATTTGATTCCGGGAACCAACACTTAACTCAAGGAAAAGATTTGCAACCGGCAGGTCAGAGGGAGGTCAGTATACCATCTCTGCTGTAGACAATGAGGAACACCACCATTCTCAATCCTTCAAACCCATTAAGATTCCTTGAGTCTGGAGGGAAGAGTCGAGCATATTCCATCCAGCCAGCTTATTTGTGCTTGCTCCATCACAGGGCATACAAATACACACACAGGGTCAAGTTGCAGAAACCAGTTACCCTGGCCAGTATGTCTTTGGGAAATTGGGAGGAAATTAAAGCAAAACCCAGTGGGATCATTGGAAGAACGTGCAAACTCTCCACAGAAAGCATCCCTGTCCAGGTTCGAACCCAGGGCCCAAGAGTGGAGAGGCAAGAGCACTAACTGACGTGCCATCACCCTGCACGGTCCAAACACGTCATGTGCAATTAATGACACCCACCAACAGGCTTTAAGATCAAACCACTGCACACTATAAAAGCTGGGAAGAACAAACAGTATTGCATGTGAGACTTTCTGAGATTGAAAGAAAGTTAGTCGGAGGTAGCAAAAGGGAAATCAAAAACCTATACAGAGAAGATGGGGGGGGGAAAAAGTAATTGTAATTGAAAACAGCAATGTGGGAAATGCCTGGGTCAGTGTTGCATGACTGCTTCTTTAAGGAGAAACAGCACAAGAGCTGCAGCTACCCTTGTTGTAGGAGGTCCAATATAGCGTACAAAAATCCCAAAATAGAGATGTGAGCAGAGAAGTTCAGTCCTACAAGAAACGAAAGAAGGATCTAAGCAGCGGGAGAAAAAGATTACATTTAAAGAGTTTAAAAGTTATCAACAACAGTGTTGAGAAGCTATGGAGGCAAGCAAATTAGTGCTGAATAACAGCGCTTTGATCCCTTCTTCATTTCCATTGTTCTGCTAGCCTGCAAATGGGCTGCTGAAAGCTTGGGGTGGCCACCTGATCAAGCCCTGCGAGTCAAGGGTTCTTCTCTTTTACCTGGAGGAGAGGAGGTGCTGGACTGGAAGAGTAAGTGGGAGAAGAGGACCCCACTACAGCGGCCATGTTAGTCACAAGCAAAGTGGAAACTCGCAGAGCGAGGGAAAAAGCCACCAGCCACATTCATAAAACAATATTGGATCTCTTTGGTTGTTTTTAGGAGAGGCTTAAAAAAAGGAAAGTGGGGTGTTCTTTATGAAACAAAAGGTTTTTACTAGATTGTTAATAACATGTTTAGATAAATATTTGACTGCCTTTACTGTATAGTGTGATTTTAATTATGTTTTACTAACCAGTCACAAAATTCTAATCCAACCTATAGTACCTTTTCTGAGGGAAGAATATAAACTGGTTTGTGATCCAATACAAATGTGCTGGTGGTCAAAAGATCTTCAGAAGAAGCCCAAGTGCCTTTGACAGGGACTAAAAGATATAAACCAAGTTTTAGCAAAGCACAAGGCAGTGGTAATGAGTGGCGGCAGAGGGTGTTCGAGGAGCTAGCTGTGCACGTGGGCTGCAAGGGGCATACCCTGTTGCACCTCCTCACCAGAGGAGGCGCTCTCAGCGTGGGAGGCCCCAGACACTGGCTCCTCGGGCATCTCATCAGCAGCAGGCTCCTGGCTCTCCACTGAAACAGAAGCAGCTCTCCGTTAGGGAAAAGCCAACAGCTTTCATTCATCAAGGAATGAGCTGCAGCTCCACGGGCATCCAAAAGAGGCAACAGCTCCTTTGCACAGCGTACATCCCAGACAAAGCCCAGGGCACAGGCACCAAACCAGTAACAGAAACAGCTGTTAAATGCACAGAGCATACAGTACCAACACAGCTCGCATAAAACAGGTATCACACCTTCTACATGGCTGCTTTGGTTTTTAGCTACTTTATTGCTTCTGACGTGAAGAGAACAGACTGTATGATGTCACACTAACTTCAAGCAATCCTTGCTCATTTCCTTGCTTTTGCCTTAAATGATGTCATGCTGTAAGAGGCTCTGCAGTAGAATATGTTAATGCATATCTCCTTGCTGGTCCCCCAACCTGCTTGGGATAAAAGCATCTGTTGAAAGACGCAGTATTACCACAAACACAATATTATTGGAAAGTCGTTAGTACTGTAGGTGTTTTTCTGCTGGTCAAAACAAAAAAAGCAGCATCATTAGAAATGAATCAGGATTTACATGTTATTATATCGCAGGTAAGTTCCCATTTCTCAATGAATGCAGGTCTTACTTTTAAATCCAGGACTGATGCAAACCTGCTGACCTGTACTGTGCGGTTTCTGTTTCAGTGGATGATGTAAAAGCACAAGGTCAACAGCAGGCAAACTGCATCTCACCCAGCTTGAATTCTTTGCATTTATTCAAATATATCTCAGTATCGGGACAGGATTTCAGGTTCAAATCAGTGAGCTCCAACTCCAGGGTTTGGTAGAGAGAGCCAAACAAAAGCACAGACTCCCCCTTAAGGAGCTAACTTTCTACAATTTAAGCGCTGTATTTCCCAAATAGGTACACGGAATTTGAATACGTTTGTATATTTTATACTTATAATGCATCAATTTTTAATTTCTTGCTAATATTAAACACACTTCTCTATGCAGCAGGGTCTTGACATTTGCATGGGTTTTGTGCAGAGAACCGTAACGAATAGTCAAATTCACATATAACCACTGTATAATGTACTTCAGTATTTAGTATGTATAATTCAAAGATATAAGTCACCCTCCCTTATAATTCAAGAGCTAATGCATTGGCTTTAAGTTTTTTTAACTTAATTAACTTTGATCAACCAAAAGAAACAGACATCGCAAACTTATAGTGATCAGTTCAAATAAACGACCCAAATCCCTCCCCTGCAGCCAGTCTGCTCCATCACTCTCGGCCTCTGTGATCGGCACGCCCCACTGTAATGAAACGGGCTATTAGACTGTCACAGAGCTTGTAAAGTCATCTCCAGTCTTTCACACCCCAGTGCTGACACAGAACTGGGAGCATTCGTGACGAGACAAAAACAAGACCAGGCTGCGTTGGGGAAGCTGGGTAGTGGGTCCCTGGAGGAGGGGGGCAGGGAGAAGATCGCTCACTAGCTAGATTCATTTCGCGATACTAGCACCACTAAATTGAAAGCTGCGGTTAACAACCTTCAGCTAAGCTGTGGATTACCATCTGCTCATCTTCCATACGAGACCCAGTTGGCCAGACCGAATCAAATGGCCAAATTCGCAGATGTTGAGACCCGACTGTGTCAATATTCTATCAGCACCACACGACCACAGGGTTCTAATCGGATGAACAGGGAGTCACCACACCAGCTATGCTACCACAGGAGCACGGTTCCTAAATCCGACTGCAGAGGTACGATATCCTGGATCGTTCCTTCGCCGGAGGAAAGTCGAGCGGGCGGTACTTTCTGAAAGCTAGCGGGAGACTAGCGGGGGAACCGCGCAGCGATCCAACACATCCCGTACTCACGGTCCGCCCTGGAGTCCGCGCCCCCGCCGCCCGACTCCCGGGCCCAGTCGCACAGCTGCTCCGTGCCTGCGGGGGGAGCCAGGGGGAGCCGGAAGGGGAAGAGGGAGCGCACCAGCGAAGGCTGGAGACGGGGGAAGGCCAGGCAGCGGACTATCGGCACGTCGCGTTGTTATCGCAGCGGTAGCACACACGGGAGGGGGGGGGGGGGGGGGTCACGGGGGCGAGAGGAAGATGGACATTGTTATTTCTCTACAGATGAAGACGCACGCTGTAGCCGGTCAAGGCTGACAGTCGGCAGCGGTGGCTAGGCGCTCTACAAATCTGAGGGACACCTGCACCCCTTTGGAGAATGATCGGTCACCCCAAAACCCCCAAGGCATTCAGACGATAAATTATTCATTTCGCGACTGGAAGTACTTTAAGATCAGTTCATCCAGAAGAAAAGGTCTTGCTAATGCTGCTGTGAGAGTGTCCCCTTGCTTGATTTCCCAAGCAATTCTGGCCCTTAACACTTAATAGGAATGGGCTGTCCAGTACTAACGACCGCAAGTCAACATTTTTAAGGGCTTTCTCTTATGTCTGATATTTTAGAGATGGACAGGCTTTGTGGTTGTCTGATGGTACTGCGGGACTCTGGGCTGAAGTGTGCTTTACCACTGCAGGCTGAAGGCTGGCGATCATGAAGGTTCCTGTCATTCATCAAATCTATTTCTTTATAACAAAGACTCACAGAATACCAGTAGAACAGATAGCAACTGGGGATTATTCCCGGATTATTGTGGGTCAAGAGCCTGGTTTGCAATGAGTGCCTGTTGATATCTGTCATTTGCATGAGCCTCTCCACTGTGACAGCTAAAAGGCGCGTTGCTTGTATTTCCAGAAGAGTGGCACGATTCATTCACAACGTGTTTTATTGTTAAACCTGCTAAAGAAACGTGTGCCCTTAAATTATAAAAAAGGAAGCGGGAAAGATGTGTTTTAAGTCTCAGAAAAAGTTAGAAACTCTTTTCTAGAAGAGGAACTGAAAAACAAAAATAAAAGAACTAAGTTTTGTGTTGGTCCTTCATCAAATCCCTATACTACCATATTTTGTATCATCTAAGAATTACATCTCCATTTCTTGATGATATCCTATGTCTTAGAAAATAACCTTTTGTTTTGCCTAGTTCAATTGACAGCATTGCAGAATCATTTTTGGCAAGTTACACTCCTCTGTGTTAATTGTAAGCAAGCGTAAGTTTATTTCTTTCCCATAGAAGATGGAAATTCTTAAGGAAGAAAAATGCTCCTCATTTCTTGTTGCCACTGTGATGTTAACATGGCTGAAATGAGTCCCTACCTGGACTGTAAATATATAAAAAAACGAGTCTCTTCTTCTATACTTGCTTTCATTCACCCAGTCCAGCTATATTATTTTATTATGAAATCAGAATGTAGAAAAAACATCAAGCACTGTACTGCTGCATTCACACAAAACCAACACACATCCTGGCAAAGTCTGCCAGCAGAAAAATTGCTAGGCACAGTTCCAACAGTATAAACCACATTCCAACATTTTTGGTGCTACATAAATCGGAATGATCTGGCACAAATGCCTAACACGCTAGGAATTTCTATAGGAAACTTGCTGCCGTTTTATGAGCAACATGGTACACTGGTACAAACTATAGTAGAAATATTAATTATTTGGCTAATATTAACACTTGTAACACAATTTCCAATATTGCAGAATTACAGTAGAGCCCTATACTGAAATATAATTATGATGCTCCACCAAGAGAGAGCAGATGGTACACTGGTACATTCAGATGGCCTCTTAGATATATGTTTTAAAGCTGTTTCACAGCTCTTGTGCTTTGCCCCTTGTTTTTGTAAAACAAGAATGTCTTGATTAAGAACATGAATAAGACTGAAAATCATTGCTCTGACCAGACATTTAAATACTCACAAACTGTGAATTGCTGTAAGCATGTGGCGATTGTTTTCAGGAATCGATGGGTGCAATCTCACAATTAGGACTCCCTGTCAAAATGCAGGGCTTTGAGGAAATGACCCAGATGCTCAGATTACTGTACAGCAGATTACTGCTGCTCTTAGGGACTGAAGCTCAGTCAAGCATTTATTTCTGCCAGCAGAAAAACCAAAGGAGAGCACGCTGGTTTAGTTTATAAAACGTTTCCAGTTTTATTCAAATAAAAGGAACATAGGACGTCTGCCAGCTGTTTTGACAACTCTTCCAAAATGTCCTGTTCACCCCCTCCCCCCCCCCGAAACCCAACCGATTATTCCTGAAATGATCTACCACGCACAACTCTGACTCTGGTTTGAAAGAAAGGCCAGTTGGAGGCTGTCTTCATTGTCTTTAACAGCAGTCACATTCATCATGTAGATTCACAAAATGCTTTCGCTGCAAAATACTTAAAAACAAAAATCTGAAGGCAGTCCCGTTTGCCCCAGCATTAACATCAAAGCACGCTGCTATCAGAGACCTTCCATGAAATTCAGAGCACAATGGTTAGAAACGAGAGAGGTTAGCCTGTTTGGTAGTAAGCAATTGTGACGAAGGGCTGTGCTAGACCAGGACATTTGTATACAGATTGTTTTCAGTATGTTTTGCTGTGTTATTTCTGTATTACATGAATTGATATATCTTGTTATGCTACCTGTTGTGAATCCACAATGTTATCTTGTGCCTGTCTGTTCCACCATCTTGTGGAACCATCCCTTTAGATGGAGGTTCACCGGTCCATCAAGAGGACCAGGTGTGGGGCTTACAATATATAACCTGGCCTAGATGGTGTAGTAGTTGTTGGTTGAGGTTTGTTCGGTCCTGTGGATTCTCTGTTTGCACTTTCTGGTTTGGTTTCCCTTATTAAACCTGTACTTATCTGGTTCCTTTTCTGACGGTACAACTTTTTTTTTTTGACTTGGCTGACTACCCATGTTGGGTAGGTAGTCCCACTGGTTGATCTGAGGATCTCCTCTAGCTGTTTCTTGAAAGAAACTTGGCTAGGCAGCTTGTTCCCCCAACCTTTGCTTATCGGGTAAGTCAACTGAATTAATTGCTCGACGGAGTGTTGCGTTTTGAAACCAATTAGCACTTCAGGATCACCATCAACTATTCTTTAGAGCACACATCACACGGTGGCGGCGTCCCGCGGTGCTTGACAAAGTGCAAATGAAGGCGAAGAAACCAAACAGAGTCAGTGTAAGTGTTACACCTAAAAGATTGTAGCGAAAAGATTAAATTATAAGCTGCAAGATGAAGATGGGAAGTGAAACTGTTTGCACACCCAGATGTTGTAGGGTTAGGAGAGATACATTGCCTATACATTTCTAGGTCTCTCTTGGTGGGCTTCTTACTAGGAATAAAGTATTGAACACTGGTGGTTTTTCCACACAGCAACCTTTAAAAATAAAAAAAGCCTCAGCAATAGATCAGACAGGGGTTCTTCACTGTTTTGGGGCCTTCATCAGGGGACAGGGCTGGCATCTTAATCAACAAGACTACCTCTGCATGACAAAAACCATGACCGCCGGGTCTTCACCAAAGCTGAACCCGAGTCCCCACTCACCTTTCATCGGACCATCCCCAGGGACCACGTGCACGGCCGCTGGCATCCCGTTCTCCTTCACTTCCTGGTGCAGGGAGTCTTTCGTGTCCAGGTCAGAGGCCGTCGCCATGGTGTCCCCAGAGCTGTACTGCACCGCCTGGGCCTCGGGGACAGAGGAGTTCATTGTGAAGTCTTGTTGCTGCTGAGCCATAGTGACACAAGTTCAGGCTGGAAAGAACACAGGGGAAATGTCAGGCCAGCAATCACTGCCGAGGGCACTGCGATGTTTTTGTCTCACGCTGACCTGGTCATTTACTTGCCTCCTTCTTTTAGAGGTTAATATTGTCTTTTATCTTGGGTTTTAAAATTGGCGGTACTCAATCTTGATTTAATTAAAGGGGAACTGCAGCCCCAATTTCTCAGTTCGGTTATTAAATCTCGGAAGCAAATTAAATTCATTGATGGTATCGAAAAAATGTTACAAATTCCAAATTAAACACAAAATCATGATCTTTATGAAAGTACTGTAAGTCGCCATTTTGTTTTAAACCCCTGGTCTCACCACAGACGATGCGGCCCTTCCTGCTCACTAGTCCCTGTAATGACTAAAGTAATGAGAGGTACAAGTGGATAAGTACAGGTTGTGCAGCAGACATTTCACTGCAGAAATGTTCCAGCATGATCTGCAGGCAGAGTTTACACGTAGTATCTGTTGACAAACCCGTCTCAAAGTCGAGAGCAGTATTTCTATTGGATTAAAAGAGATGTAATCGCAAGCCTGCTTCTTTACAATGTAATAAGGTTGCAACACGTCACCGGATGTTTTGTTGCCTCGTTCTGAATCGCAGAATTGCTGCGCGTACCTGGATATTTTGTCAATTTTGGGATGCAAATCGGAGGTTTTAAAAGTTACTGTGTACATTTTACTCTCATTGTGGTTTGAAATGCACTCAAAGCTGATTCTTTCTAACACCGAAATGTAAAAATAGCATTGCAGGTCCCCTGGAATTGCTATGAAAACAGTTGCGGCCTGTCCCAAGATTATCACCTGGAATCTGAAAGGGTTTGAGCTATTAATGAGGGAGGATTTAACACACAAGTCATGAGTTGTGTCAGCAAACAAACTACAATGCATCCAACTGAATTCAATTCCACACTGAAAAGTGAAAATTGAGTTATATGACCTTTTAATGTGGTATTAACTTCAGCTGGTTCCTTCCTACACTATTATAAGTATTTTATATAATCCTTATGACCCTAGAGTATGCCATCTTCCATGTCTAAAACCATTGCAATCAGTGTTAACATACTGTTTCAGCACTCCAGATCTCCATCTCAGAAACAGATTCACGTCATGGCTGGGAGACTTGAAACTCCTACAACATGTTGCTTCGCATTCATTCACCAAACTGACCCTGAACAGTATGAAAAAAATACTCCATTGAAGGCCAAACGGCCCACACAGGCAATCAAAGAATAGCAGGAGACTTCGCAACTATTTCAGCTATATTTGCAGCACTTAAAAGCTGGTAATGTCATTGTTGCCTCCACAGTAAGACAGGCCTGGCATTGTTCTGCCTCTTTACATCATAGGTCACTCTCTAAAGGCAGCACGGCAGCCTGCGTTGCTCCTGGACACTGACCGCACTGTCCTCGTACAAACGCAACGCCCAATCAGGAAAGCCAAATGCAGACAGCAGAGAAACCAAAGACGAGGTGGCTTCTCTCGTCCAGACGCTCCCTCTATTCTGGGCTCTGCGTGGGAAGATGGACGCCCGGGGGCCCGCCTACGACCAAGTCCCCCTACGTCCACGGCTTGAGGGCAGAGGCCTCCTATCGGCGTCCTGACCCAGCTGAGTCCGGGGCTCAGAGCACCTGGTCCCGTTATCCCCATTTTTATTCCCTCTCCCTGCACCGGATCCCGTTCCGGTTTTTAACTGTGTTTTGTTTTCGTCTCGTCTGGATTTCCCAGTTTTGGACTTCGCCCCGGATGTCCCCCCCCTCCCCCCGGACTCCCTCGGACTTGTTTGCCATGGTCACGCCCCCCGAGCACCAGTGCACCGTCGTCAAGCCCCCCTGTTCGTCAGCCTGCCCAGTTCCTCGCCGTCTCCTCCCTGTGTCTGTTCCGCTCCCTCCCGGATTCTATCCTCTGCATAGGGTCCTGAAAAACGCTTCGTAAACTGATGCGCTTCCCTGTCAATCAAATGGCATTAATAACACAAGTTTGGGAGGAAGGTTGGGTCCTAATTTTGCAAACGTTGACGTTGACCTGCGTATTTAAAGTCTCGCACCCAGGATTTCTTTTCACATATCTCTTTCGCGTCCCAGCCTCCTCCTCATCTACACACTCTACATATTTCATCCCTCTGACACATTCGATCGGATCTAACCGAGCTATCGAATTGTAAATTGGAGAATTCATCGAGATTGAAGTGGGAAACCTATCATCTGTTATTATCTCTTTGACTCTGGCAATCATACACTTTTAAAACGCATTCTAGTAGCACTTGTGTTGCCTAAAACTGGGTGCTGTGCACTGAATCACTGAATCAAATCAGTATTATATTTCTCTGTATAAAAGAAAGAGAACAACAATTAATTATTCAGGACACAGGAAGCTGTGACTCTACTGACACTCTCACCTACAAAGAAGCAAACAGAAGCAGAATGTAAACAGATACATCCCTAACTAAAAGTTAGCTATTTATACTTGAAACATATAGCTTTGAGTTACAGGACCACAGCAAAAATAGCCCTGCTTGCAAGTCTGTTCTGCAACCTGGCACAGCTCTGCTCCTTCCTCTAGAAAGTGCCCTGTTGATATTGCATTTTACTGCAATATGAGAGTTCATGTTGCATTTTTAATTAAACTGCACCTAATATGTAAATGTAAAAGATTTCAGTTTTAAAGGCAGGTACTAAGAAACGTTTTGTGAATGTAGGACAGGATTTATTTGTAACACAAGCTGAAGATATGCAAAAGAATTACAGTACTCAAAGACATTGCACATTGTAATCTTATGTTCTTCAGGCACTGCAAACATTTCTTGAAATATCCAGAGTTCAACAGTGAAAGATAGACCGTTTTGACGGCTAATTCTTGTCCAGCCAAAGGGATTTCCCACAGTGCTTTCTAAAGAGAAGTGTTAGTTTTTTTTTCAGTGTCATTTCATGACAAGTGCATCCTGTTTATTTTTTCTTTCACCCGCCCTTGCTGAGCGAAGCAGAGGACTGGCTGTCAGACAAGAGCCCTCAGCTCCACAGCACTTCCTCTCTTCCTGTTGATACCAGTGACATGAATAACTGACTGTGGCAACAAGACCAGAGATCAAGAGCATAAGCTCACCAGGTTATACTGGGAACTTGTAGGTGGTGCACTACATACTCTAAAATATTGGCTGAAATGCTGTTCCAAACCCTGAAATAATCTACCTTGCTGGCCATTTCAGTTTAAGATTTTAGTTTAATGTAAGTTAGCAAGACACCCAGGAAGCCTGGAGAAGACATCTACTGAATTAAAATAACTTGATAAAAATAGCCCTGTTTAATTAGACCTTTGATGCTATGAGACAGGGGAAATGGTAATGAGTACATCAGATGTGTTACTGGAAAAAGCAAAAAAAAAACGCATCACACAAAGATCTGCAGGAAGGAAGTGAGCAAATACAGTACATTTGCTAATCAATACGTTTGCATTACTTATCTTATGTGGCCATAGATGGGTTACAAGTCTAGCGTTTATTTGAAAGAGGATTTGCGAACAGGAGTTACTTATTTCTATTTATTTTATTACTTATATCTACTTATTTTAGTCCTATGGATTTCGGATTTTCCTTTTTGCTCCCATTAATGTCGTCTGACATACCCATTCAGAGCACTGAACGGGCCAGCCTGCCAACGATCTCAGATCTTCTGTGCTCTCCGTAATTTTGGTAAGCTACGAAAAAATGACTCATGAATTTTTACAGAATTAAAGAATGGGTAATAAAATGCTTTTTAAAGAACGCTTTGATAGAGGCCAACGCATTTTCCACAAAATCCACTTCCTCCCCAGCTTTCAAAACCGGAAAAAAACATTTATTTGGTTAAAAAAAGTGGCTGCACTGCACTTATGTCTAGTACTACTTTTCCTTGTGGGGCCTCAGTGATGGCCGTGCGTATAGAGGCAAGAGCAAAACTAACAAGAGAAAAGAAACTTTTGGTCAAAGCAGGAAAAGGCCAGATGCCAGCTGTGAGTATACTGGGGGCGCATCGATTCTAATGCTCAAATGATCTAATATGGACTCTCCTTGGGGCACAGGGCCTAGATCTCACCATTCAGGTCTCAGCAGATGTGAAATGCTTCCAGAACTAGCCCAATTCGTAAGCGTCAACATGCAATTCCAACAAAGTTGTTCAAATGCCAAGGCGCCATCTGCAAAAGTACTGTATATAAAATCAATGCTGGCTACGGTTTCTTCAGAGCTCTCCTTTACGACAGTCGGTGATATACAGAGAATTAATTTCAAAGAGCAGGTCACGTCTCTAGGTCCTTATTGTAAGAAAACAACAGAAGCAATGATAATAATCAGAACAACATCCGCACTGTACCTTGAGTAAAGTCCTGCTGCGGCCAGTGTCTGTAGTTTTGAGACCCTTCACTGCCTATGGATGAAAGAACTTGGCGTGACACCCCAGTCATCTAGCTGTGGACTACTGAGCCAGTTTTAAGTGCCTTGCGCTCTTTATCTGTTCCTGCACGCATCCAAATAAGCCAAGCTCTCCCCTTATCTAGGAGCCACAGCGGGTCCCGCCCTCCAGTGCCAGCCTCCATCAGTCACGCCTGAGGCAAGACGGCACACGTCGAGCTTGACGGCAGAACGCAACTTCTGCCACTGAAGGATTTCACTCTCTTTAAAAATTCCCAATGCAGGGACTCGACCAGATTTCCAGTTGCGTCCCAAAAAACCGTGTCGCGTGTCGAAAGCAGCGTAGTTTCGGTTTGAGACACCAGTGAGATGACACTCGTGGACCAGCAGGGGGCACACTACAGGTGGAACAGTATGGTGACTGGTGAACTGTGCTTTAAAAGGTGCTGCCCTAGGGATGAGACCTAATGAGGCTGCGGTTGCAAATGAGGTTGCAACTACTTTGTCATGAAAGAACCCATGGCATTCTATGTAAAAGCTGAGGCGTATTATTATTATTATTATTATTATTATTAATAGGTCTTATTGAAATATCCTCTG